TTTTTCGAGAAATATTTCTATTTTGAAAGCTCAAGGTTCGAATGAGTCCTTAAATACAAGCCTTTGACCAATAAAGGTTATTTCCTTAAAGACGGAGGGCCTTTTTCAGCAAAAAATGGGCTAATCTGTGTGTATTTGGGCCCTTTTTTGGTCAAAAAGACCCCAACCCACGCACTTTTTTTGGCTCTTTTTCTTTTGACCAAAGACTGTTAGGTATACAAAAAGATATTTTCAGCTTTTTTCTTTTTTTTCCTTCAACAAACAATCACCTAACTGCCCACTTTTGGACACGATCAGCAAACAGATGTGTGATTTCCGAGTGTTTGAGGAAGTTTCACAAAGAACAGGTACTTGTGGGTGAGAGGTTTAAAAAAACAAAGGTTTAAAAAAAAACGGAAGAATTTGTGTAACTTTTAACAAATTTTAATGAGTCAAAAAGTTTAAAATAGAATTTTTCAGAAATGAATGTCAATATTGATCAAGCCGTTCATACTTTTATGCAGACTTTAGGCACGTTAATAGGATAGAGACAAAGCTTCAAACACTAATTACAAATGAATACACGGATGAAACCGAACGTTGCTTTATGCCGGCTGCACCCATGATATCGGCAGTGACAAGGGAGCTCTGAAATACTCTCCAAAAGACAGCCATCTGCCTGGGAAATGCGGAAAAAATAGAAAAGAATGTTGGGTGGTTTTGCAATAAATAAAAACTTGGCGAAGTAAAAGTTTTGAAAAAAAAATGAATGTTTATCAAATAAATGACCAATTTTCGAAAACAAAAAACACACAAATGTTATCGTCGAACAGCATACTTTTGATTCAAATAATCAATAATCAAGGTCAAAAGCTAAAAACGATCAAAGTTTCGAAAGTTTAAAGTAAAAGATTTATTGTTTTAATTGTATTTATTTAAGGGTAAGTTTTTATTGGGTTGTCCAGTTATGAATGCGCGTTTACTATTTTGTAAATTTCTCAAGATATCGAGCAGATGTATATGAGTGTTATATATCATTCGAAAGCTGAAGATCTCGTCTACATTTTGATATAAAAAGCTTTTAAACTTGTCCAGCTTTTGGGCAAATTGACTGCACAAAGGGAGAGGTCGTTTTCGAAAAGACCCACTTTCGTTTAGCTATTCCTCAAGTTTTCGGGGGTAAAATAACCGTCCAGAAAAGAAAAGAAAAGTAGAGATGCTCTGAAATTGTTATATTTAAAAAAAAAATTGTATTGATATATCTATCGGTCAAACATCAAACGGTTAACTCAATTTGAGCGTAGCCAAAACTTGATCCAAAGGCATCCTTTCATTTTTTTGGCCACCCCTTCTTCTGTGCAGTCAATTTTCCCAAAAGCTGAACAAATTCAAAAACTTTTTAGATCAAAATGTAGAGGAGATCTTCAGCTTTCGAATAATACTTATATATATCTTTTTCTTGATTTCGGTATCTTGAGAAATTTACAAAATAGTAAAAAACGCGCATTCATAACTGGACAACCCAATACAAATTTTATGAGTCAGCAAAGTTCAAACCAAATCGCGTAAAATTTACAGAACAAAAAATCAATCTGGCCACTGATAAAGGCTTTTTTTGAAGGAAAAAAAACTAGCTTTTTGAGCTAAATTTTGTTTATTTTTGAGTCATTTTTTGATGGAAGAACAGCTTTTGGAAGCAACTACAAAGTAGGGAAAGCTTGTTTTTCAAGTGAACTTTCCAGTGAACTTTCATCGAACAAGAGCTCAACTTTTTCTTGAACTGTTTTGTTTCTGACAGCATTTTTGATCGGGTCGACTGTTTACATCATAATTTTGCCCGGTTTTCTGTCGTGAGTTTCAAATTTTGTACTCAAGCCAAGGTTTTCCGGTTCGATACCATCTTTTGACAATTCTTTTTCCGAAATGCTCAGGACAGCCAAGAGGCTTTGACTGAATTGTGAGTTGGCTTTGGAAAAACTTATTTTTTGATTCAAAAAACAAATCAAAAATGCTTTTTTATTTGCCTTCTAAAAAAATGCTTTTTTAGAAGGCAAACGGTTTCATTTTGTCTTCATTTCGATTCGATTTCGTTCAACGGTTGCAATTTTTAATTTTAAAAAATACAACGAACTTAAGACCTAACATGGCTATGCTGATAAGAAATATTTTCTTTCTGATTTCGCTTATTGTTTCTTTTTGAAATGGAAGAAAATTGGCAATTTTTGGCTTCAGGATCATATGGAGCTGTTTTTCACATCAAAGATTCTGACCCGCAAGTTTTTTTATACAAAAAGAAATAAAAGTTCTTATGTAAAATTAGGTTCAAGTTTGGGCTTAAGTTGTACTAAAGTTGAATTTTCAGAGCAGCTGTAATAAAATGCTATCATCAAAAGACAATATCTGTAATTGACGATGAGTCGATAAAAAAAGAAATCGAAACATTGGTGGAACTAGACCACCCGAACATCGTACTTTACCTTGGATCTCAAACTCTAAAGTCGGGTGGCCTTGGAATTTTGATGGAATACTGCGAGCGCGGCTCTTTAGATTCATGTAAAAATCATGTTTTGAAAAAGCCATCTTTTTTGTAAAATTCAGGTGTTTTCAATAAAGCAATCAGTTACACTCTGTCAACGGCGATCTGCTGGAGCGAAGAGCTTTTCGAGGGTCTTCTCTACTTGCATGGGAAAAACAAAATTCATCGAGACATCAAAACTGAAAAGTAGACAAGTTTATCGAGATTACCTGATCCAGCTTTAGCATCCTTGTTACGAAAGACTATATGCTGAAGTTGGGGGACTTCGGAGCGGTAAAGGTTTCATTTGGAACGTGCTCTAGCACTTATATGGGCACTGAACGATACATGAGTCCTGAATTATTATTTTTGCAAGCAAAGGCAAGATTTACAGTATAAATGCAAATACAGACTTTCTCTCAGATTTCTCCAAAAAGTGATATTTATGGAATGGGACTTGTTTTGTGGGAGATAATCGAAAGAAAGTAAAAAAGCCAAAGCCAAATCAAAAACTGTTTTTAGATACGTGTTCATGGAATTTATCGAAAACAATCGGTTTCAAGTTTCAAGTTTTAAGAACAAATCTCATGGAATGAATCTGAAAGAAATTGATCCTTTGAATTCGATTGAAGAGTTAAAAGAACTCGTTTACAGGTTCAGTTTTAAACTTTTCAAAACATTAAACTTTTCATGAATTGGTAAAATATTTAATGATATTTACAAGTATAAAATTTAAAACTATTAAGAATTAAGTTGTAAGTTGATAGATACATGTTCCAGTTGCACCTCATTTGATCGAGCTTCTCGCTGGGACGCATCTCAAGGTTTACAGCACTTGAAAAAACTAAAAGAAGTGAGAATTTTGATTAAAACTTCAAATCATTTAGTTTTCAGAAATTTGTTCTCTTTTCCAAGCTGCCCGGTTCTTCAAAACCATCAAATTCCAATCTTAAACAAATTTTCACAATAGATGAAAATCCAAATGTAATCAGCTGGTTTTTTAGAAAATTTAAAACTATCTTTTTTAGGAAAGCTTTTCTTCTACGAGTTTACCTTTAGAAGAAAATCAACCAAATGAACAGACTATTCAACCGCTAATCAATTCATATCCGTTAGCTAAAAAGATGATTCAACATCATGGCAATATCAATGAGTTTCTTATCGAGGAAGGACCGTTGGAAAACTTACTCGAAATGTATGAAAAGATTACAAACCTCATTGAAAATTATGTCCCAAAAATTTTTCGAGAAAACGAAGACCAAAACTTACAAAGTACTACTTGCTTTGAGAGAAAAATTTTTGCGGCTATTGAAAGTGACTTAGAAAAGAGAAAAATTATCTTCAAATTATCTTTGAAAGACTAGAAATGTAGATAAGAAATTTGAAATGTGCGCCACTGAACAGTCTGTGACGTTAAGCCTAGAAAATTCGAAACCTTTAGACAAAAATGAACCAAAGAAATGTCTCTCGATCAATAAAAGGAAGACCACCGGGAGGATATTCACCGCTTTTTGCACAGGCATCCAACCGACATTTCACCCCTTGTTTTGCATTTCAACTTGAAAAACTCATTGTCATCATAAAAAATTGGAAATCGATAAACATTTAAGAGAGAGAAATATGATCTGTGATTGAACGGGAATGATGCCTGTTCCAAAACCTTAAAATGGAAACTGTTTTTGTTTGTTTTTGGGTGAAAGAAAAACTTTTGTTGTTTGGGTTTATTATATGAATTTGAAAGACAAATTATTTTATATAAAATATTTATTGAAACTTAGCAATTTTCAATCAATCAATGTACACCGAATCACATATCTCTTCGGCTTCTATTTGACATTTCTCGTAAAGTTTAGCCAAAAATGATCCTATTTTCGCTTGGCACATAAATTCTATTTGGTCGAAACAGACGGAAACTTTAGCTATCCTCAATACTCGACCAATTCGAAGACACGGAAGATATTGTTTTTCAGCTGGATTTTCAAAAGTCGGAACGTCAAAAAGGACCGATATCAGGTTGTCATTTCGTTTTTTTGTAACTGGGATCACAAAGTTTCGAACCTCTAAGAACTCTAGTGTACATATTCGTTCTTTCAAATTTTTCAGTTTGTCTTTGCTCGCAAAAAAATATTCATCTGTGGACTGACTTACAATAAATAAGATTTCGCAAAAAGCAAAATATGCATCTAAACATGCAATTTGATCTGCACTTGTGCAATAATAAATGGAGATTTTGGTGTTTCCTGTATCATTCAGCGGACGATAGCTTATAACAGGGCATTTAGGGCCACGGTGACATTTTGGGATCGGTGGATTGCTCAAGTTGAAGACATATCTGCTGAGCTGACCATTTCGCAAAGAACGTATCGAATGAGGCTCAAATGGGTCGCCTTTGAAAGGACTTGAGTCTATCTTTGATAACACAGAATTTCGTGTAGTTTTGATTCGTTCTTGAAGAAATTTTAGCATCGAATTATCGTCGATCGAGTTCCATTCATTGAACAATTCATTTTTTGGCTTGTGTAAGATGTTTTCTAAACTAGTAGCTAGGGAATAAATGTAATCTGGATTTTCTGAATCTACACTTTGAAGATTTATGTAGATAGTTTCCTTTAGATAAGTGTCCAGTTGTTGTCTCAACTCACAAAGCCTACCCAAGAATGGCCAGCATTCAGTCAATGTTGGCGAGCAAATTGTAAACAAAATTTTTTTGAAGATAATTTTTCTCTTTTCTAAGTCACTTTCAATAGCCGCAAAAATTTTTCTCTCAAAGCAAGTAGTACTTTGTAAGTTTTGGTCTTCGTTTTCTCGAAAAATTTTTGGGACATAATTTTCAATGAGGTTTGTAATCTTTTCATACATTTCGAGTAAGTTTTCCAACGGTCCTTCCTCGATAAGAAACTCATTGATATTGCCATGATGTTGAATCATCTTTTTAGCTAACGGATATGAATTGATTAGCGGTTGAATAGTCTGTTCATTTGGTTGATTTTCTTCTAAAGGTAAACTCGTAGAAGAAAAGCTTTCCTAAAAAAGATAGTTTTAAATTTTCTAAAAACCAGCTGATTACATTTGGATTTTCATCTATTGTGAAAATTTGTTTAAGAGTGCAATTCGATGGTTTTGAAGAACCGGGCAGCTTGGAAAAGAGAACAAATTTCTGAAAACTAAATGATTTGAAGTTTTAATCAAAATTCTCACTTCTTTTAGTTTTTTCAAGTGCTGTAAACCTTGAGATGCGTCCCAGCGAGAAGCTCGATCAAATGAGGTGCAACTGGAACATGTATCTATCAACTTACAACTTAATTCTTAATAGTTTTAAATTTTATACTTGTAAATATCATTAAATATTGTACCAATTCATGAAAAGTTTAATGTTTTGAAAAGTTTAAAACTGAACCTGTAAACGAGTTGTTTTAACTCTTCAATCGAATTCAAAGGATCAATTTCTTTCAGATTCATTCCATGACATTTGTGCTTAAAACTTGAAACTTGAAACCGATTGTTTTCGATAAATTCCATGAACACGTATCTAAAAACAGTTTTTGATTTGGCTTTGGCTTTTTTACTTTCTTTCGATTATCTCCCACAAAACAAGTCCCATTCCATAAATATCACTTTTTGGAGAAATCTGAGAGAAAGTCTGTATTTGCATGTATACTGTAAATCTTGCCTTTCCTTGCAAAAATAATATTTCAGGACTCATGTATCGTTCAGTGCCCATATAAGTGCTAGAGCACGTTCCAAATGAATCCTTTACCGCTCCGAAGTCCCCCAACTTCAGCATATAGTCTTTCGTAACAAGGATGCTAAAGCTGGATCAGGTAATCTCGATAAACTTGTCTACTTTTCAGTTTTGATGTCTCGATGAATTTTGTTTTTCCCATGCAAGTAGAGAAGACCCTCGAAAAGCTCTTCGCTCCAGCAGATCGCCGTTGACAGAGTGTAACTGATTGCTTTATTGAAAACACCTGAATTTTACAAAAAAGATGGCTTTTTCAAAACATGATTTTTACATGAATCTAAAGAGCCGCGCTCGCAGTATTCCATCAAAATTCCAAGGCCACCCGACTTTAGAGTTTGAGATCCAAGGTAAAGTACGATGTTCGGGTGGTCTAGTTCCACCAATGTTTCGATTTCTTTTTTTATCGATTCATCGTCAATTACAGATATTGTCTTTTGATGATAGCATTTTATTACAGCTGCTCTGAAAATTCAACTTTAGTACAACTTAAGCCCAAACTTGAACCTAATTTTACATAAGAACTTTTATTTCGGTCGCGTCCGTTTCCTTGCTATTTGCGTTGCTATTTTGCAATTATTCGCGTCGCATTTTTCGCCCTTTTCTCCCTTCCCGAAATTGTTTTTTGGTCTGCGGGTTGCTTTTGATGGATGATGGATGTCCGTGATCTGCAATACGGACCGTCACATCGATTCGACACTCGGATCTACCTGCTCATGGGGACCGCCTCAGAAACGAGCCTATCCAACTTTCATCTCGAGCTGTGGGGATGTTATGTTTTGGACAATCAATGGAAAGATGTATGGATGCAAGCCATGGAACACCAAAGGAAGCTTCGTCAAGAAAATCGCCTAGCTCCGGTCAAGCGTCGACATCAAGAATGGTTTGAAGACGATGTGCCAGCTGCCTCGTCGTCGAGAATTGGTGGCCGAATGGAATCACCTCGTGGTCGTGGACGTGGTGGTCGCCGTTGAGGGAGCAAATGGTCTCATCAAAAAGGATTGCCTTGAAAGTTTGTTGAAATTTTTCTTTTTAGTTTGTCTTAACCTTGTCTTTTAACCCTTTTTGTCAGATTGTGATTATTACTAGGGCGTGGGTCCGCCCTTCTCGTGGAGGAGGGTGGTCGCGTCCGTTTCCTTCCTATTTGCGTTGCTATTTTGCAATTATTCGCGTCGCATTTTTCGCCCTTTTCTCCCTTCCCGAAATTGTTTTTTGGTCTGCGGGTTGTTTCTTTTGATGCGCATGCTGTCTTTGTAATAGGTATTGTTGCATTTTGGTTTTGTACTAATAAACAGTAAAATTATAAACTCAACTTACTTTATGCTACCCTTCAGGTTTTAAATCCTGTTTAGATAACTGGTTTAACATTGTAGCGAGAGCTTACTAACATTTGTGTCGCCACCGACGAGTATTAATCTTGTGTTGGATGCTGCTCGTTCTTGTTATGTTGTAAGCGCTTTGGGGAAACCCTTTTTAACCTTCTTTGTGCAATTCGGCTATTCTGAAGCAAAATCATCCTCGATGATAAGGTTAAAGCGGGTCGCACCCCAAACTTGCGTTTTTGTATAAAAAAAACTTGCGGGTCAGAATCTTTGATGTGAAAAACAGCTCCATATGATCCTGAAGCCAAAAATTGCCAATTTTCTTCCATTTCAAAAAGAATCAATAAGCGAAATCAGAAATAATTTTTTTCAGAAAGAAAATATTTCTTATCAGCATAGGAGTTCACTGGAAAGTTCACTGGAAAGTTCACTTATCAGCATAGCCATGCAAAATCAATGTTACCTATGATGAAATATTTTCATGTTTCATCGGATTTACTTATAAAAAAAATATAAAATTTTATTCAAACTTATACTTTTTATTCTTTAGAAAGTTTTTTTTAAAGCAAAGTTTATTTAGGTGCATTTCTCTTGAGCCTTAGTCTCAAGCCACTCCAAATCGATGCTTCCAAAATCGGTTCCTGTGGAGAAAAGCTATTGTATGCTCCTTGTGCCCATGGAATAAAATCGACGGCCGTTCCGTCGCTCCAACTGCCGTTTCCGATTTGTCCGGATCCGTTCAGCCCAATCCAGGCATATTGATACCAACACGAGTCGAGATATTGTGTCACATTCGTTAGATTTTTCACATCAGAAACTGTTAGGTCTTAAGTTCGTTGTATTTTTTAAAATTAAAAATTGCAACCGTTGAACGAAATCGAATCGAAATGAAAGCAAAATGAAACCGTTTGCCTTCTAAAAAAGCATTTTTTTTAAAATTTTTGATTTGTTTTTTGAATCAAAAAATAAGTTTTTCCAAAGCCAACTCACAATTCAGTCAAAGCCTCTTGGCTGTTCTGAGCATTTCGGAAAAAGAATTGTCAAAAGATGGTATCGAACCGGAAAACCTTGGCTTGAGTACAAAATTTGAAACTCACGACAGAAAAGCGAGCAAAATTATGATGTAAACAGTCAACCCGATCAAAAATGCTGTCAGAAACAAAACAGTTTAAGAAAAAGTTGAGCTCTTGTTCGATGAAAGTTCACTTGAAAAACAAGCTTTCCCTACTTTGTAGTTGCTTCCAAAAGCTGTTCTTCTATCAAAAAATGACTCAAAAATAAACAAAATTTAGCTCAAAAAGCTAGTTTTTTTCCTTCAAAAAAAGCCTTTATCAGTGGCCAGGTTGATTTTTTGTTCTGTAAATTTTACGCGATTTGGTTTGAACTTTGCTGACTCATAAAATTTGTATTGGGTTGTCCAGTTATGAATGCGCGTTTTTTACTATTTTGTAAATTTCTCAAGATACCGAAATCAAGAAAAAGATATATATAAGTATTATTCGAAAGCTGAAGATCTCCTCTACATTTTGATCTAAAAAGTTTTTGAATTTGTTCAGCTTTTGGGAAAATTGACTGCACAGAAGAAGGGGTGGCCAAAAAAAAATGAAAGGATGCCTTTGGATCAAGTTTTGGCTACGCTCAAATTGAGTTAACCGACGGTTATTTTACCTGGACGGTTATTTTACCCGCTAAAACTTGAGGAATAGCTAAACGGAAGTGGGTCTTTTCGAAAACGACCTCTCCCTTTGTGCAGTCAATTTGCCCAAAAGCTGGACAAGTTTAAAAGCTTTTTATATCAAAATGTAGACGAGATCTTCAGCTTTCGAATGATATATAACACTCATATACATCTGCTCGATATCTTGAGAAATTTACAAAATAGTAAACGCGCATTCATAACTGGACAACCCAATAAAAACTTACCCTTAAATAAATACAATTAAAACAACAAATCTTTTACTTTAAACTTTCGAAACTTTGATCGTTTTTAGCTTTTGACCTTGATTATTGATTGAATTATATTGAAAATATTGAAAAAATGAAAAAGACTTTTGCATCAACCTAATATTTAAGGACTCATTCGAACCTTGAGCTTTCAAAATAGAAATATTTCTCGAAAAATGCTGAAAGTGACCCTATTCTTCGTCTTCGCCATTCTTCTATTGCAGTCGATGGTCTCTGGACAAGAAGACAGACAAGCTTCAGTGGTCGGTTTGGCTTTAAACTAGACAAATCAAATTTACGGGTCAGTTTTTAAATCAGGGCTGCCAGAACTGTTGAATAAAGTCTAGTACCAAGTCGAATCGACCCTTACATGTACTAGATGGCTGCATATGAACATATGCACTTTTCAAAATGGGTCCACTTTCAGAGACCGTATTTTGGCCAATTTTCAACATTTTTGTGAAATCTTTTTTTGATCGAAAGCTGAAACTTAGGAGAGGATTTTAAGCTACTAGGTTATTTGACTTGAAAACAGCTTTGAAATTCTAAACCGTGCTCCATTTGTGACGCTTGAGAACAAAAGTCAAAAATGAAATTGCTTCAGACTGTATTTCCTATATACAGTTTTGTAGATAATTTAATTGCGCATCTTTTGACCAGCCAAAAATTTCATTTGTTTTTTCAAAAATTTGACCAGCCGTCACAAATGGAGCACGGTTTAGAATTTCAAAGCTGTTTTCAAGTCAAATAACCTAGTAGCTTAAAATCCTCTCCTAAGTTTCAGCTTTCGATCAAAAAAAGATTTCACAAAAATGTTGAAAATTGGCCAAAATACGGTCTCTGAAAGTGGAGCCATTTTGAAAAGTGCATATGTTCATATGCAGCCACCTAATTTTTATTAGGCCGTTGACCAAGTCGTCTCCCGGCCTGCCGGCCCTGCTTTTGTGTCTAGATTTCATGAAGAAACGATGCTGCAATAAGTCGTGCTCTGGAATTGGCTGCCACAAAGCAATGTGTGCTGTTTGTTGTTGACTCGAGTTTTGGATAAACCCGATTTTAGAACGATTTGAACACATAAATACGGAACTGAATCGAAAAGATAAATTTTAAGCTGGATTCTTGAAAAAACCAAAATTAATACAGGCACAAACTTGGCTTTGTTTTTTTCCTGTTAAGAGACTGCGCCTAATCTCTATATCTAACAACTTTGTCAAACAACCTTACTAATCCCAAACTTTAGTCTAAACGAGCCCCATGGGACGTGATCGTTTCGAGGCCTTCCCGAGGCATCGTCTGCACGGATTACATGAAAAAGAGATGCTGCAACAAAGGCTGCAAAGGCGTCGGCTGTTACCAAGCCTTGTGTGTCGTTTGCTGTTGATTTGATTGAAATAAATAATTACTTGATCTAGGAAAATTTCAGGACCTCCTCGTCGACGTGGTGGCCATTCTCAATGACACTACAGCTACTATGGTAGCCTGTGCTTTCAAGGAGGAAGCTTGTCAAGTAAGTAAGCCTAAAATTTTACAGAATCGAAAAACTATTGTTTAATTTCAATTCAAAGTAAAACCAATGATTCTGTTCAATCAATCAATCAATTAGTTCAGGTGGGTATAATCGTTGGGACTGGCACGAATGCTTTTTACATGGAGAAGCTCTCGAAATGCTCGAAGCTTGAGGGCGACCCAGAGATCGATTTGAATCGGATCAAGTGGATCAAAAATGAATAGCCAATAATTTTAACCCATAGATCTGCATAAACACCGAATGGGGTGCATTTGGAGACGATGGAGAGATCGAGGACCTGAGGACAGAGTTCGACAGACAAGTCGATGAGGAGACCATCAATCCTGGACAGCAACTGTAAATTGAACTGAAAAACAAAGTCATAAATCTTTCAGGTTTCTAAAAATGTCATCCGGAATGTATTTGGGTGATTTGGTCAGGCTGATCCTCGTTCGATTGGCCAGAGAGAACCTTCTATTCGATGGGAAAACGGATGGAATCTCGGAGAAGGGGGTCTTCCTGACGGAGTACATATCGGAGATCGAGAGGTTTGGTTCGAAAAAGCAAAAATATTATTGAACTACTGAAAATTGATATTATGTTAAAACTCGACCATTTTTCAATTGGCTTAGGTCCGATTCTCCAAGTCTTGTAAGACTGGCCAGACTGGATAGTCAAGCTTCAAGTTTCAATCGATGTATTTTTTCATCTAATCTTGATCTATCTAAGCTTATTTTGGTTTATAAGTTTTATCAATTTACAAAAAGTTTATCTAAGACTAACTTTTTTTTTTTTGTTTCCAGAGAATTTCTCGAAGACGACGACCAAATCTTCTCGAAAACCTTTCAAATCCTCAAATCGATGGGCATCGACGAAGTGACAAAACTCGACTGTGTTTGTACGCTTGTCTCAACAAGGTGAATATGTAGATGGTCAGAAAGAATAAAAATACAACTATCCATAGCTAGTTTTATTGCCTGGTCATTTCCAGAGCAGCCCACCTCATAGCTGCGGCCACAGCAGCACTCTTGAATCGAATGGGCCGCCAATTTGTGTCGATTGAAATCGACGGAAGTGTTTACAGGTGTCAGATTTTGATTAACAAAATAATACATTCATTTTCTTATCTTTTTTGCTATTTTTTTAACGCAAAAACCAAAATAAATTGTCTCTTTTTCAGGTTTCATTCAACATTCTCTCGACTATACGACAAAAAGCTCTCTGAGCTGATCGATATGCACTTGAAGGTCGGGTGATCTAAAATTGAAAAACAAAACATTCTGACGTCAAAATACTGAATCTAGTTATCTTAAATCAAAATCTAGAGTAAAAAAAAACTTTTTTGAGTACCAACTCGTGCTCTCAATCGACGGATCTGGTTAAGAGGCTGCCTTGGTGGCTGCTGTGGCTGTGAGGATAAAAGAGGCAAAGAAAAATGAAAGCAACCAATTAGCTTTTGAATAAATATTTTCAATTTATATCAAAAACGATTAGTTCTAGGTAACACTAACAAAAAATGCCATTATTACTCAAGAAAAATAATTTAATTTAGATATTTGAGTGACTCAGACTCAAAAAAATTTCAAAACTCGGGTGCGAACCGGTTGTGGCTAACTTTCTTTCAAGAATTGTCAAAAAAAGAAATTTTTGAGGTTTTCGGAAAATTTGTGCAAACAACAGAAGCAAGATAGGAGTTTATCATAAATTTTTCCCCATTTTTTTAGTTTTTCCTTGTTTTATTGCTTGAATTCGGTTGATAAGCTGGGCGGGCCAAGATGGGCGGCAAGAAAGTTCCCATTTGGCTCTGAAATGAATCGAAGATGTCTTATTTGGTCGCTGGCAGCAGCTTTAATTGTACTGGTCATCATCGCAATCACAGTGACCCTAATACTGGTTCTTCGGAAGCATCACAAGAAATCGGATGAAAAATCGGATGGACAGTCATTGAATGAAATCATCTCGGAAAACTCGACCTTTCCCGATGGCAGCTACCAGTTTTCTGTGAGTGATCTGAAAACTGGGACTCTCGACGAATCGCCGGATGTTTTGCCGATTTGGATGCTGAAAATGCTAAATCTGGCCGTGGACGACTCGTCGATGGTCGCCGAAACGAACCGACTCAGCTATTTGTTTGTTCGACTGACACCCACTAACAACACGAGTGACACAAGGTAGCTCTCAAGCTGTTACTAATTGTTATCTGTCGTTAAAGACTCGAGACAAGCTCTTTTTAATCAGTTTCTGTTTGTGACATGCACGATAATATAATTTGAGAAGCTTTCAGAACCAAGCGACAGACCACGACCGATGACAAGGCTATTGGAGTTCGCTTTGGAGACTCGGACACAATTCACATAATTCCAAGAAACCTGACCTCAATCTACAACTCGGGTCTCAGCTTTATAGGCACTTTGCCAGACGGAAGTCAGGTTTTTCAAATCCAAGTGCGGATGGGCGATGCGATGTGCTCGAAACAAGACTATGGGTCTTGCTTAGGGGCCAAGTGGACGCCGTACTCGATCGAGAATGGGGACGCGGTTGTGGGATCGGCTGCCCAATTCGACAACGATCTCCCGGTTGCCTGTGGATCTCAGTGTGACGCGAAGAGTGACTCCCCTTGCGCCACGTCCTCTTGCTCACAGTGTGATGGCCAGCAAGTGGCCGGCGCCAACACTCCCGTCACTCGTCGATACAATATGGGCACCAAACAGGCGGCAAATCTTCAATTTCTGTATGAAACGTTCTCCGTACCCGATCGTATCACTGTCACCTATGAGGGCGATGAGATATTCGACAGCGGCTGCGTTGGCACAGAAGGAGAAAGGACGACGCCGATCGGTTTCGATGGTCAGTTCTATAAAATTTGCAAAGTTAATACCTAGAAGTTCCTAATGGTTTCAAGACCTAAAATTTGATTAATGGGTCACTTCCGAACATTCTTTGTTATCTGATTTATCTGAAAAAGCTACTTGGCATAAAAAATGTTTTACTAGTGCAGTACAATGCTTATAGGTTCAAAACAGAAATTCAGAGTTTCAGGGAACTCTATGGAAGTCCGTGTTGATGTCGAGCCGAACTGTGACGGGACAACAAGCACTGCCTGGTACTTCACTCTGCCGTGCGTTGACGGCCCACCGACCACCCCACCGCAGCCCAACACGACGAGCCCGATTCCTTCGACCACTTCTGGTGACTGCCGAAACCGACAGTGTTCCGAGTACAAGTGCCTCGACGACACAAGAGCTCACTGTGGTCCAAGCGGATACTTACTTAGCTTTGGATACAAATACTGCAACAGTTTCATCGGTAAGTCGGCTTTTGAATCGAAAAACCAGCCAAGCTTTAGACCACACCAACCTTTTCACTCCCGCAGGCAAAAGGTTCTTCGAGTGTGTTCGACCGAGGCTGATGGAGTACATCGAGGGTTACTTGGATGTAAGTTGCGCAGAATTTTAATCGCAACACAAGACATTTTTACATTTAAAGCATAAGTCAGCCTACCTAAGTTGATTGATTAGCCAATACTAGGGTCTAAACGGTTTTTACATTTAAATGTAAGTTAAGTGGTTAAAAGTCCAAACAAACTCTTGATATTTTTCAATTTAAAAACAAGTTTCACCCAACTCGGGTAAAAGACAATACATACAGGACTTTTGCCGCCTAAAAAGCGAAGATTTTCAGAGTGCTGGAGACTCGGTGAATTGCGACGATCTGAAGCTGAAAGCCTTCGACAGCCACATCCCGATATTCAGAGATTGCGACTATTGTGACATGATTTTCCTGAACGCTCCCCAATTTCTGTACGTGGTTTTCGGCGAGCTTGCCACAGAGCCCTTGGCTAGGAAAGAGGCCTGCGATCTGATGGCAATGTTCCCGCGGCCGCTGCTGCGGGCATGTTCTATGGGCAGCCAATGCTTACTTATACTATTTGTGTTGCCACGTGCAACGCACTTTGTCGTTGAATAAATACTTTAAGCTCTTGTTTCATTATGTTAAAGATGGCTATGCACTTGCAAACTCGATTCGTAGCATCAAGCCTTTATTGGTTTGGTTTATCGTAATGAGCTGAAAAAGTTTTGATCAAAAGCTAAAATTGAGAAAAAAATCATTTGTATTCTGTCTGGAGTAAGTAAAATAACTTTCGACGGTCTGTTTTCCTTTTCAGTTTTCATTTTGATACAATTTTGTGTATATCGGCTGTCAAAAATGTTTACAAAATTCCCATTTCTTTTAATTTTTGCCGTTTTCTTTTTTGAAGAAGTGGAAAGTGACGTGGCTCGAGATGGGTTCTGTTTCTTTTGTTCACTAAGTAAATAAAAAAAATTGAATTTAAAGGGTTAACTCCAAAACATTCTAGAAGGCAGTCACTTTTGCTGTTGAAGTGATCAAAAAGAGTGAAGCAAGCAAGAAAGAGGACTGGATCATCAAACAAGTCCAGGAGAACCAATGCATGAAGTTCGCAGAAAATGACAAGGATAAAAGCGGGGTGAGTAGATAGAAAATTGAAAAAGAACGCCGTGAGCCAAAAACCGTCTCTCACCTCTCGCACTCATTGACTATCGCAAGCATTTATAAAGTTCAAGTTTTATCTCTAAAAATAATCCCAAGTTATATCTATCCAATCTAAGGGTTCCTAAAAAACCGAAAATATTGGCTTGGCCCACATCCTATGCAATTTTTTCTCCAAAATTTCACAGAACTTAAAAATTTTATAGAGCATTTCCAAAATTATTTATTTCTACCCCACACATCAATGACTCGATGCCAACATCTGCGCAGATTATCATGGCTCATACAAAGGGCTTTATTGAGTGAACCACTTTCAAACGCCATTGTTTTGGCTGAACTGGTGCTCAGCTAGGGGGTTGCTTAATCATCTCAAAAATGCAATAATATGAAGCGGAAACGATAGTAGTTTTTTGTGTATTAAGGAGACATTTTCACCTTTTCTTGTACTTCTACTCTTGCACATTCTTTAAAATGGGAAGGGTTTTTCTGCTGAACAAAAAACGGAGGCACTGACTGTTGACTGTTATATCTCTTTACGCTTAATCGGCTCACCCCTATTCTCTTGCATACAGTTGACCAACAAACATGTTTAGTTTATGCTCTTTCTAAAATTTGGCTAGTCCTTTAATATCATGGAAAACCAACGGCGAACTGTGGCTTTGGTACACACTAGACATGGAAACCTATCGATCAAACGGCCGAAAATGCAAGATCGGTCAGGACCAGGGCTGGGAACAAAAAACTAATTTTTATTTGTTTGTTTGGGCTACCAAAAATTTTTTTGGTAAAATCCCAAAGAACTCAAGAAAACAAAGAAAAAATTTTGTTTGTTTTTTGGGGTTTTTGAGTTTTTGTTTGGAAGCAAAAAAAAGTTTTTTGGGAAAACCCCAAAAAAACCCAACAAACAAACAAACAAATAAATAAAAAACCCCAGCCCTGGTCGACCAATCGTTTTTTGAAAGCAGGGGTCGATCGGATCGGACCGATCGATCGGTCGTTGATGGACTAATCTCAGATCGATCTTTTGATTTTGATTCAGAGTTTTTGACTTTTTCCCATGTCTACTACACACTTTATCTTACTTTATCACTCCGCACAGTGTTCCGGTTTGAATCAGCACAAGAAAGATGAATTTGTTCGCGTTCTCAACTGTGGCAAACAATCTAATAGTTGATAAAACTAAAAATTTTGCTACATTAAAACCTTACCGAATGTTTAAAGCAAGACGGTCATTTTTAGCCGTGCAGTAAACGGCCAAAGCTGTAGTGAGGATGCTCACATTGTAGACCTAAGAGGACGATAAATAAAGTCTTTTATCCGATCTTTTGCAACAGCCGAGGTACAATGTTCCAGATGTTCCAGAGCTCACATCTTAGTTCGAGTCAATCATTTTTCCGTTCTGTTTTCAGATTCAAACTCGTTAGGCTTTTACCTTTATGCCAGTAAAAATCGTTTTTGAAAATTTAGAGTTTCAGGCTTAGGCAATTTAAAGTTTCAGGCATGGGCTTCGGAACATGTCCACTTTTCGTGAACCTCGGCTTTTGCGAATCCGGCTCAGATCTTTATGACTTGATCTTAGACTTTGCATTTTCTATCTCCAAAATAGTTGATCTTACAATGATCATAACTAACTGGGTTACGGTAGCATTAACGGGGTTACGGTAGCTGTAACGCTATCCACGGCTATCAAAATCGAGCCAATTGTCTATCGCTATCCAAATCAACGTTCTTCAAATGAAATTTGCCAACGCATTTGATCACATTCGAAAGAAAAATCAATCACCGATATGAAGTGATCAAAAAGAATTTTAAAAAATCATTTCAAATCACATGGTACGATAGGTTTAGAATACAAAATACAAAATCCTTGAATCTTGTAAAGTTCATTGCTAAAAAAGTTTCTCAAAACACGAAAAATGCTCAATAAAAGCCATAGCTAAACTCTTGAATCAAATGAGAAATGTAAATGATGAAAAACCCCAAAAAATTTCTCTCAAAAACTCCTGACACGCAATTTTTGCATAAAGAAACTGAAAATAGGTTTCTTTACAGGCTTTTTTTTGTTTCCAAAATGTATTCTAGTTGATTTTTGGTGTTAATTTTCTATTGGAATCTTTGAAAATTCTCTAAATATTGGACTTGATTTTTTTTCCCCTTTTTGTGTTTACATTTATAAGAAAAATAAATTTCATTTTAAAATCATTTTAAAATAATCTCTTTCAAACTTGTAATTTTCTTTAAAAAAATGTGAATAGTTCTTGGAAAAAGAGAAAGAAAATTAAAAATACCGACTGGGGCTACCAGTGGTGAATTTATCGCATACACGAAATATATCAATCACAATACAACGACACACACAATACTAGGCTATATCTTAACTCAACCCACGTCATGACAGACGGCTCCCTAACCCTAAGCTCAATGGGGAACTAAATAGCTTTTTTGGTGGTGAAGGGAAGATGACGATGAAGGAGTGGCTTGCAAAATTGCATATCTTTTTTTAAGTAAAAAAATATAGAGAATTCTTTGATTTGAAAACAAAAAAAGATTGAAGTAAAAATTGAGAATTTATACGTAAAAGATTTCGTAAAAGAGAAAGAAGAAAGGAGATTTTTAGCCCTAATTACCCCTATTACTCAAATGTTGTTAAGAAAAAACCCATAATAATGGGAAAAAGAACCATTCTTTCTAGCCGCCGGGATCGAACCCTAGGAAGGATAGCCTAGAAACCTAAGGATAACCTGGAAGCCTAGGAATAGCCTGGAAGCCTAGGAATAGCCTGAAAGTCTAGAATAAGCCTGGAAATCAGGCTCTGCTCTGAATCGGTCAAGTACTGGGGAAGTACAGGACTAAGTTTGAGTAACAATTGTAGCCGCTCCAGATCAAAGAAAACAACCCATAATAATGGGAAAAAGAACCATTCTTTCTAGCCGCCGGGATCGAAACTTTAACTCCCCGACTAGGAGACAAGATTCCTATTTGGTCGGCTACGACGGCTAAGTCAAAGTAAGTCAAAGTAAGTGAAAGTAAGCTCAAATGCAGAGGAAGATCTGTCTTTGCATGTACTGGCTCAAATTTGAGAACAAATCCTTGCCGGCTTTGTGCCATTGAGAAAACGAAGAGTTCAGTGCGCCCGAAAGGATGCGTTTACAACTTCGCTTTTGGAAGATCTGTTTTTGCATGTACTGGCTCATGTACTAGCTCATGTACTGGCCCGAAAGGATGCGTTTACAACTTTTGAGCACAAAGCACATTTAGGGCAACTCTGGAAACTATTGTCTGACGTAGAATACTTTTCCAAATGTCGACATGCTCCAGCATGTTCCAGCATACTCCAGCATACTCCAATTACCGTAATCCGGCTCAGATCTTTATAGCTTGATCTTAGGCATTTTCATTTTCTATCTCTAAACTAGTTGATCTTATAATGATCATAATTAAATGGATTACGATAGCTGTAACGCTGTCCACAGCTACGTCAAAATCTATCCAAATATCAATCGCTATCCAAATCAACGTTGTTCAAATGAAAGTTTGAACACATTTGATCAAATTCAAAAGAAAAATCAATCACAGATCATTTATTATTTATTATTTTTATCAAAAATGATTGTAATTTTCTTTTTACAATATAATATAATAACTTTCTTCGGTCGGTTCAGCTAACCACCAATCATCCAAGAGAAAAACTTCTTCAAAACATGATACACCCGGGTCAACGCAGCTAGCTTTTGATGCTTTGAGTCTAAATTTAATATATATTGTGCTTTTTTCAAATGAAACCTTGCTCTGCAGTCTCGTATGGCGGCTTGAACCTCAAAGCCTCGATATTCCGGGGTTTCATTCCCGAAAATCTCTCTAGCAATTCCACCAATCTCTTCGAGAATCGAGTCCATCTTTTTCTGAATATCGGCAATAAACCTTTTCCCCTTTTTCTGCAGCTTCTAATAACTGTTAATTTGTCAATTCTTGTGACGACGAGTCGCCAAAAAGCTACCGCCGTCTAATAAGACACCAGAAATACCGTACCCTAAACAATTTCGTGCTCAAACGCGTATATAAGCACGCCTTCTTTCCCATTTAGTCAGAATTTTCTCTCATTTAGTCTTTTGAAAGTTGTTTTCTTTTGTTCGAGATACTTCCACAATTACTAGGTACAATTTTCATCAAAGTGATTCCTTTTTGTCTTTGAATCAACACATTGTTTCTTGGAGCTTCGTTGAAACATTTTTCGCACGCTTAATTTATTTGAAGCTTGTATTAAATAAATTTTTTTTGTTATTCATTCAAGCAAAAGCGCACAGGTCTAGCCACGTCTAGTGAATTCATGGAAAAGTACAATAGTAATTCGTAATCCAAAGCAAATTAGTTTTGATAATTCTTGTTGTTCTTGTTGTTCTTGTTCTTGTTGTTCTTGCTGTTCTTGTTGCTCTTGTTGTTGTTGTTCTTGTGCTTGTTGTTGTTGTTGTTGTTGTTGTTGTTCTTGTTGTTGTTGTTCTTGTTCTTGTGCTTGCTGTTCTTGTTGTTCTTGTTCTTGTTGTTCTTGTTCTTGTTGTTCTTGTTCTTGTTGTTCTTGCTGTTCTTGTTGCTCTTGTTGTTGTTGTTCTTGTGCTTGTTGTTGTTGTTGTTGTTGTTGTTGTTCTTGTTGTTGTTGTTCTTGTTCTTGTGCTTGCTGTTCTTGTTGTTCTTGTTCTTGTTGTTCTTGTTCTTGTTGTTCTTGTTCTTGTTGTTCTTGCTGTTCTTGTTGCTCTTGTTGTTGTTGTTCTTGTGCTTGTTGTTGTTGTTGTTGTTGTTGTTGTTCTTGTTGTTGTTGTTCTTGTTCTTGTGCTTGCTGTTCTTGTTGTTCTTGTTCTTGTTGTTCTTGTTCTTGTTGTTCTTGCTGTTCTTGTTGCTCTTGTTGTTGTTGTTGTTCTTGCTGTTGTTGTTCTTTCTTCTTGTCCTATACTTACCTCTTCAAAAAAGCGCACATCCGGATATGGAGTCGGCGTCTCGTCCTTTATTCCCTCAAAGTCGAAATTCATTCGCGCATGAAGGTGAAGCCCTTCCTTTAATGGCACCTAGAAGCTACAATAACTGAACTTTTCAAAATACAATAAACACAATTCTATCGGGCACAAGTTTAAGAGCCCCATAGCCACTAGAGCCAGGTTTAACCTGGCTTACCCTTATATCCAAATCCCAACTCACATTATATAGCTTCTTCCCACCAAAATACTTCCTTGGATAGTGAATCCAGCTACTCTTCACGTACTCGGTGAGAAATACACTCTAAACTTTTAACATCAAAACTCTTCATTCTAGAGCATGGCTGCTTCAAATTGGCTAAACTACAAATTTGGTGTGATTGATTTAAAATTTAACACTCTGAATACTCATCTTCCATAGTACCTTTGGAAATCTTGGATAAGAGAAAACTTTCGGTTTTCGCAGAGCATCGAATTTCAAAACATTCTCATATTTGTAGGGTTTCTCGATGATTCGCGGTCGAAACGCCAAACCGACATGAGGGAATGAGAGAGCACCTGGAAATGGATCAGTTGATCAATCTAGGAAAAATAAATACATCTTCTTACAAGTCTCGAGTAAGATCGCACTTTCCTCTTAGTTTAGCTCATGTTTAACAATACTTTAACAGGATATTGAATTTGTACCAAAAATACAGCCAAATTAAAGGGAAAAATTGAGCATAGTGACGGCATAGTGACAAAAATTGGGCATAGCTTCCTTCGATTTGGGCATAGTGACGCCCAAAGCGCGAAGAAAAGCCAAATCTTCCTGTTGTGCTTGAGCAAAATTCCATTTCTTTAGGTAACCCTCAAATAATTCGCGCGTCATCCAAGCCTTTGAGTTGGCGTCGTAGAGCACCGACAGTTTTGCATTTTTAAAGCACCGTGGTTTCTTCGATTAGCCGATCACGAGAAAAGGATATTTTCTGATTCATCCATATTTGATCCAACAAGAACAGTGACTCGTTCTTTACGCTTTTTGCCGCTTGTGCATCGTTCTCCTCTTTTTGCCGCTTGTGCATCGTTCTCCTGGTCTTGTTGGGAGTGAGCTTTCAAAAAAAGCCCTGGCTCATCAAGATTGTATACATCTTTTAGCTCGAATTCATCCAAGAGTCCTTGCAATACTTTATCTTCCCATTTGTTGACGTCGTTGTAGATAGTATCGGCGGCTTCTCTTTACAATGTTCGAAAAACAATCCCGTGTCTTTGTTTGAAGCTCAATCGTTTATCGCTTCTTCCCGTACGGACCACCCCGTACGGACCACCCCGTACGGACCACCCCGTACGGACCACCCCGTACGGACCACCCCGTACGGACCACCCCGTACGGACCACCCCGTACGGACCACCCCGTACGGACCACCCCGTACGGACCACCCCGTACGGACCACCCCGTACGGACCACCCCGTACGGACCACCCCGTACGGACCACCCCGTACGGACCACCCCCGTACGGACCACCCCGTACGGACCACCCCGTACGGACCACCCCGTACGGACCACCCCGTACGGACCACCCCGTACGGACCACCCCGTACGGACCACCCCCGTACGGACCACCCCGTACGGACCACCCCGTACGGACCACCCCGTACGGACCACCCCGTACGGACCACCCCGTACGGACCACCCCGTACGGACCACCCCGGAATTAGTGAATTTATTAATTTTCAAGTACGAAAAGGAATGAAAAGACTTTCTGGACAGCTTAATATAAAAAAGAGCTCGAAATTTGTACTCGGGAATTTTCGAGATCGGCGAATCGATTGCCGGGCCTTAAATTTGTCCGTTTTCTTCTACAAAACTGATATAACGGTCTGAGTCCCTTGTCTCTCACCAAATAACTCACCCAGATTTCTTTTCTTCTGAAACCATAACTCAAAGTAGTCAAAGAAAGACGATGACGAGTTCCTAAGAAGCTTGAGTTTAATTACTTGACTTCATTGATATTTAAATAGTACCTAATGTATAAGAAATCATCAACATCCCCTTCAAAAGTGTACTTGCTGTCCGACCAAAAAAGACAGTGCTGCGTCTCCAAATTGTGACTCACGTAATAGACACGGTCATTTGGATTATACTGTAATTTAATAAATAAATAAGATTTGCATAGAATATGCATTTTCTAAAGCATAATTTCTAAAACATAACTTTCGAAAATTACTGTAATCTCTATTTTTAAGTTATTCCCAAAACTCGCCGTTAAACTAAATGGAAGCAGAGGCCATTGATGGATTTTCACAAAACCTTCTTTTACATAATAATCCAGCACTCGTTTAACGGATTTAGAGACAGATTGAACGGTGAAAAGAATTCTAAAAGAAAGATATTTAATCAATGAGTAAAATGAGCTCAAACATTGAACTTTGAGCTCAAATTTCTTGGTGTTGGGTTATTCAATTTAATGATTTTTGTACCAATCGATAGAGAAAGATTTAGCGCATCCAATGATATTAAAAATATTTCAATTGAATAACCCAGCATCGAGATCTTTGAGCTGAAAGTTAGATTGTCAATGGCAAAGGGACGGGGCGACGGACCTTTTATACGAGCCCGCCCATTTTGCGATTGCCTAACTTTAAGCGCAAATTTCTTTGTGTTGGGTTGTTCAATTTAAATAGTTTTTGTACGAATCGATAGAGAGATTTAGCGCATCTAATAATACCAAGAAAATTCAAATTGAACAAACCAACACCAAGATCCTTGAGCTGAAAGTTAGATTGTCAATGGCAAAGGGCCGACCTTTTATACGCGCCCCGCCCCTTCGCCATCTAACTGTAAGCTCAAATATCTTTGTGTTGGGTTGTTCAATTTAAATAGTTTTTGTACGAATCGATAGAGAGAGATTTAGCGCATCTAATTATATAAAAAATATTTCAATTGAACAAACCAACACCAAGATATTTGAGCTGAAAGTTAGATTGTTAATGGAAAAAGGAGCGGGCGCGTATCGAATGTCCGATCACCCACTTGTATGCTCCCTGTCTCCTCCAAAGCTCTAGGAAAACGATCATTCGAGGCCAATCGTTAAACCTGAACATTTTTTTTGTAAACTTTATAAATTCTATCAATTTACCAATGCAGTGCTCCAACACAAGCCGATAGAGTATTTGAATAGTTTGCGGGTGATCGATGCAATGCCACTTCTACAGCATTTCCATTCCGAATTACCGTAATCTAAGTTCTACAGTAATCTGGTTTATTTTCTATACTATCCCTTGACCACAATAGCTTGTTATAAAATTCTTTCACCTACCTTTTCTGGCACTTTTCCTTGATAGACTTTCGATCCGATATCGTAATGCCAATAGGTACACTCATGCTTGTTTGGGCATTTAACTAAAAAACACGATTTCTTTTGAGAATAAAAAAAAAACCATTGTTTGTGCAAAAGATCCATTCAACGCCAATATCTTTTCCAAAAATGAGAATCGAAAAGTTAGCGTCGAGTCCCGCACAAGTGGCTGTGATGAGGAGACGAATTCGAGGACCAGCTGGGTCCCTAAATGAGGAATAAAGTTTATTGCTTGTTGCTAATTTTCATTCAAATTGGCTTTCTAAGAATGAGTGGACTTTAGTTTTCGGTGAACTTTCATCTTAATCATTTCATCTTTTCATTTTAGAGCCGCAGCGGGGCAACGCCAGTGTGGCTGTCTCTGGAATTAGAGACCCGGGTTCGATCCCGGTTCCCAGCTCATGATCCAGGTTCAAGATGCCGATCCAGCCGTCCTCGCCTTCTCTTCATCACCAGAATAAGCTATCTAGGGATCGTCCAATAAGAGTAGGGATTACGGAACCGCCGAGAATGTAGGCGTGGGTTAAGTGGAGATATACCCTAGTATTGTGTGTGTCGAATTGTGATTATCGTTATCAAATAAACCACATTCGGGGTTCGGGGGTGTATATCTTTAATCGAATAAATCTGGTGCATACTGGAATGAATCCAAGATTGTTCCAAAACCACTAAGCCATTAAGAAGGCAGACCAGTCAAGGCCAGGATCCGGATTCAGGCTCCAAAACTATCCAAACCTGCGAGAAGCCAGATCAGTACCCTTACCCTGACCTAATCTGGTTTCTTACTGGCCTTGGGGTGGCCTTGAGCGAGTCCAAAACCAATAGTAAAGCTATTTACAAGCTTGGCTAGACTCAGAACCGGTGATGCAGTATCTTTTGGGTTTTTTACCAGTTTATTCTCGATTTTCTCATGAATCTAGTACCAACAACTCTAGCAACAACAACGACAACAACAACAACAACTCTAGCTGTCAGTGTCTTTAAAATTCGGTAAAACCACTTTGAAGATAATTTACCTCAAATCATAAAAAGCTTTATGAAGAAAGACAGTCTCTTTCGTCAAATTCTTCACGGTGTAAGACTTGTCGAAATTCGTATTACGATAGAAATTCGATTGATTTCCGTTGATAGAGGAATTGATTTCGATTGATAGAGGAATTGATTCCTCTAATTCTTGCAAACAGATCCATCGATCCCAAAATGTGACCAATAAACAATAACATATAACAAAGCCACCAATAAAGTAGAGCTGAAAATGGAGATGAGAATTTTGTAAAGTCAAGTTTTACCTCACTTTTGAAAGCATTCAAATTATTATTACTATGGCCTTTACGAATACTGTAACACCTATCCAGGTTACGGTAACATCTGCTAGTCTATTCAGATTACGGTAGCATCTTAGGATTTATGGTAGCCTTACTAGGTTTATGGATTACGGTAGAGATTGGCGATAACGATACTCTAAATCAAAAACTTACAAGAAATACCCGAACGGCTTTCATTTAAGTAGAGAATTTTGTGGGATTTAGTCAAATCAAAGTCAAAATGCAAGAGTTTAGTCAAATCAAAATATTTTAAAGTTTTTTTGGACCAGTCGGATTGCTTTAAATTCAATTGAGCCCTCCAAATCAAATCAATTCACATTTCCCTTCCATTCAGGCTATTCGATTGGGTCTAACAATGCGACCAAATGTTTCACGATTGCAAAAAACTGAACTGTCAGTAGTTGTTAAAAAACAACAACAATTCTCTTGTCTACTGGTGCACTAATCTTTGCCACATTTTAGAATACGAGTTGGATTTTAACGTTTAAACAAAAAAACTTAAGTACAAAGCATGAAAATTGTAATAAGGGGTTAAGATGAGTTTTCTAAAACGTTTCTAATAGTTGATTTTTCTAAGCTATTGAAGATTTTTGTTTTTAAAGATTCATATAGATTTAAGCTTTATTGAATAAACAATCATAATATAATATAATTGCTTTTCACAGTCGCTTCGGCTAACCACCAATCGTCCAATGGGAAAAGCTCGTCAAAGCACGAAACACCCGGATCAAGGCAACCAGTTTTCTTCGGTCGTCCTCTAAAATTTCGAAAAGAAAATTCGTTAAATTTAAATTGATTATTAATGAATTGCAATTCATTTTCATAAACTCACTTATCGCGACAAAGTTGCAGTGCCGTCTGCACCTCAAAACCTCGGTATTCCGGAGTGACGTCACCAAAAATCTCTCTCACGATTCCCCCAATTTCTTTCAATGTTTTCTCCAAGTCCTTCTAGATTTTATTTAAATTGAAAATTGTAATCAAGCACTTCTTTAAAGAAATGAACATCTGGATACGGTGGTTTGATGAGATTGAGATCCGATTTTTGGTCAAAGTTCATTCGACCGTGCAGATGGATTGCTTGTGCTTTGGCCACCTAGGAAATGGACTTTATTATTGAAATCAATAGATTATAAATCCTTTATTATAACTAAATACTTATTGTATACTTATATATGCTACTTAATAAAACCTAAACATTGCGAAGAATTTTATAAAAAAAAGAATCGGGAAGGGGACTCGAACCCTCGACCTGCCGACTACGACACAAGGCTCTTAGCCAGTCGGCCATAGCCGTATGTGGGCTTCGATGATAAATAAGGGTTTCATGAATTCACTGATGAATCAGCTAGAGAAGTTTTTGTTATTTGGATAACCTACCGTACTTAATTGACTTTAAAAATTCGCTTTTTACTAAATAAATGAAATAAATATATTGTAATAATTATTTTATAGACTCTAGTTAATTAGAGATTTCAAAATTGCATCTTTTCAGGTCACTTTAACATGTTGAATGATTAAGACAATAAATTTGCATAAGCATCACTAACTTATTAAAGCTCTCGGTCGACCTTTTAACCTAACATCATTTTTCAATGCCTAAAAAGAGTAATGTTATCAATTTTATTTGTTCGTTTATTAAAAACCTCACATCATAACGCCTCTTGTCGGCGAAATACGCTTTCGGATGATGAACCCAATTGTTTTTCACGTACTCGGTGAGGAAAACCGTCTAAAGTCGAAAATTCTTGAAAACTTTAGCATTTGTTTACTTTTGGCATTCTCCATTCTTCGAAAGTTAGCGGTTTTCGCAGAGCATCGAATCTCAAAACATTCTCATATTTGTAGGGTTTCTCGATGATTCGCGGTCGAAACGCCAAACCGACATGCGGGAAGGAGAGAGCACCTGGAAATGGATAAGTTGATGAGTATGGGAAAAATAAATACACCTTCTTAAATGTCTTGAGTAAGATCGCACTGTTCTCTCTGTTTAGCTGATGTTTAAGTGACACAATTTAACGGGAGCTAGAATTTGTACAAAAAATACAGTCAAATTTAAGGTAAAAATGTTTTAAAAGACATAGTAACGGTCAAAGACCAATTAATAGGTTGATGCATAAGTCTTTTCGTTTTTTTTCGTACTTCTGTTAAAAAGTAACAAATTCACCAATTAATCTATAGTTTGCTCTATAAAAAAAGTGTTTTTTTGTTCAATTTGCATCTTTTTAAATGAATTTCGGTTCACTTTCAAGCAAATTCGAGAGTGAAAAACGCCTTTTTCGTAAAAATCTATAAAAAACTCTACGGAAAAATTGGCTGAATGAATTTCTCTGAAATTTTGGCGAAATATCAAACTTTTTTTTCTCTATCTTTTATCTATTGACACGAAGATAGGTTTTCTTTAGCTAAGGTGTCTAAACCGCATCATCGAGTTAGCCCTTTTTGACTACCCGACTTCATACTCTCAAGAAAATCCAGGCATAAAATATTTTTAAACCCGTTTTAATGTTATTTTGCAGAAAAATAATTGCTTTTTCTAATGAAATCAACCGTAGTTTAATTCGTGCATTTGTTGGCTTGAAACGGCAGACGAAAAGGAACAAAAACACTTATGCATCAACCTAATATTTTGGTCTTTGAGCGTTACGATGTCTCAGAGACCAATTATTTTTCTGCAAAAAGAACATTAAAACGGATTTACAAAAGTCTTATATCTGGTTTACAAATGCTTTACAAATGTCTTATTTCTTTTTTGGGAGCCTGAAATCGGGTAGTCAAAAAAAGGCGACGACTCGGTTTAGACACTTTTGACATAAGGAAACCTATCTTTGTGTCAATAGATAAACGATAGAGCACAAAAAGTTTTGTAAATAGCCAAAGTTTCAGAGAAAATCATTCAAGCTAATTTCTTCCTGGAGATCTTTATAGATTCTTACGAAAGACACGGTTTTCACTCTCGAATTTGTGCTGTAAGTGAGCTGAAATTTCATAAAAAGATCGAAATTGAACAATAAAAACACTTTATTTAGAGGAAACTATAATAATTAGTCAATTTATTACTTTTTTTAACGACGAAAAGGAATGAAAAGACTTTCTGGACAGCTTAATATAAAAAAAGAGCTCTAAATTTGTACCCGAGGGTTTTTCGGGTCGGGGAATCGACTGGTTGTTCTTAAATTTGTTCATTTTCCTCTACAAAACTGATATAACAGTGCTGTCTGACTTGAGCCTTTTTTCTCTTGATTTTCTAATGATACGATACGATTTTCTACAGGATCTCTCAAAATTATGGAGCAAAAATTCGAACATTGATCTTTTGTTAATGTTCAAGGAATTTCTAAAGGTACCGAATTTTCTCTAATAGTAATGCACCCCGGCGAGCCGAGTTGATGACTATTTTACGCTATGCTCTATGCACCGAAAGCTCTATGCAAAAAAAGGATTTGCCACATAATTTTGGGCAACTCTATAACGATTTTCGAATGATTTTCTAATGATTTTCTAATACAGAATACAAAAACTGCTCCCGTTAAGCCAAGTTATTCAAAATCTTTAACTAAAGATTTACCCAAATCTTTCTTCTCTTGAAACCATGTCTCAAAGTAGTCAAAGAAAGGCAATGATGAGTTTCTGAAAGGTTTTTTCATCTTCACTTGAATTGAAAAAGGAACTAGTAATAAATTTGATAGACGGAATTTAGAAAAGCTGAGAGTATTCCTACCGTAAATACTGTAGTTGGACCCCACCCCCATAATGACGGTGCGAAGTGTTACGTAGTCTAGCTTTGAACGAGTTTTTCTCGAGACTGGTTCATGCTACAATGCGCGCGTAGGTATCAAAAAATAGCTGAAATTCAGGGCTATTTTTTGATACCAAAGACGCATTTTTTGAAAGTACGGGCGCTTTGCAAAACAATGAAATACTAGAAAACTTTTGCGACTACGCGACTGTACGAGGGGATGCGGTACTATTACAGTATTTACGGTTAGTTTAATCAATTCTAAAGCTTTTAGCTTTTAGCTAATCTCAATTGAATTTCAGCAAATTTAGGTAATTAAAGAATAGAAACAGTAACTCTTTGTGGCTTTGAAACCTTCGAAAAAAGAATTCAGCTAAGTAATAATAATATGCAAAGCTAATAAAGATATTCAGCTAAGTAGTAAAAGCAGTAAACTTCAAAATTTACCGAATATACAAAAAATCGTCGACATCTCCCTGAAAAGTGTACTTGCTGTCCGACCAAAAGAGACAATGCTGCGTCTCCAAATTGTCGCTGATATAGTAAACACGATAGTTCGGATCGTACTAAATTTTGAGCATTTTCAAAGCTTTAAATCCTTTCTCTAACCAACTGAGAAAATGGAAGTAAAGGCCAATCGTGGATTTGGAGTAAACCCTTTTTCTCATAAAAGTCCAGCACTTGTTTCACCGTTTTTGAGACGGATTGCACGGTGAAGAGGAATCTGATTAGTAAACACGGGCATTTGAAGACGCTTCGCTCCTTTTTCCATTAGCGATCTAACTTTCAGCTCAAATATCTCGGTGTTGGGTTATTCAATGGAAGTATTTTTAATATAATTAGATGCGCCAAGTATTTCTCTATCGATTGATTACAAAAACTATTTAAATTGAACAGCCCAACACAAAGAAATTTAAGCTTAAAGTTCGATTGCCAATGGCAAAAATCAAATCATATGATTTTTCTTGAATTTTTCTTGAATAGGCACTTTTTGGTCAACGAATCCAATAAACTTTATGCTGAAAATGTTACTTTTATTTTTAATCTGGTAAAATTAAGTGCACTAGAAGGGGCATGTTTTGGGCACAAAGCACACTCTTGTTTGAAATTGCTCACTTCTCAGTGCCTTGCCTTCTCCAAACCTCGAGAAACACAATCAATCGCGGCCAATCGTTGAACCTTAACTTTTTAAGTAAAAATGGTAAACAAATGGTAAACATACACTTTCTAGTGCACCAATTTAGTAGTTGGTTTACTTCTGAAAACAACTACGAAAAGTACAGCAGAAATAGTTTAAAAAAAAGGAAAAACTAACCAATGCACTGCTCCAATGCAAGCCGATAGACTATTTGTATAGTTTTTGGGTGATCGATGAACTGGGATTTCAACAGCATTCGAATCGCGGATTACTGTAACCTAAAATAATCTACTATCTATTATAGTATATTTTGTATAAGAAATTCTAAACTTTTCACTCTACAGGGTCACCGCGAATTATAGCGACTCACTTCTGAGTAGAGTGTGCTCCTCGCAAGTAAGTAATTACTCGAGTAAATCTGCATGAGTAATTTTTTACTCGAGTAATAGCTCGAGTAATTGTCGAGTAATGCGCTTTCTAAAAAGTGCGCCTGCGCGAAAAAAATATAAAAGCAATTTTTAGCAAGCGCAGGTTTTTCAAAAAAAAAATCATTTTTTTACATTGGAAGAGGAATTTCCCACCAAATCAGTTAAACGGCTGAGTACCTTTAAAAAGTGTCGTATATAATGCGGGGCTCGTCATTTTCATTTTTTTGCAATAATTTTTGCTAAAAGTACGGTAATTTTTTTCCCAAGTGTGCGTTTTAAAAAACGCATTACTCGCGAGGAACACACTCTACTTCTGAGAGCCTAGCTCAGCGAGAACTCAATGAATCCGTATGAAATTTTTGGAGATGCTTTTTGAGTATTTTTTTTCTGTAGCTAAGCTCATTTTCTAACACATTGGTGCTTCTAGAATCTTTAAATGATCTTACAAAGTTGAGAGTCGCTATAAAAGTTGAGAGTCCTGGTGAAAAAGCAAATTTAAGGTTTTTGAGAGTCGTTTTTGAAGTTATTTAATGAGGAATTGTTTTGTTTTTCTTAAAATTTTGCAGATTTCTTATGTTTTTTTTGGTAAATAACACCAAATCAAGAAGAAAAAACGATAATATCTTTTGAAAAAAGATATCGTCGGATTTTTTTTTCTTCAATTTTTGAGTGGACTCCAAAATTTTGTTAGGAAGCCGCAGTTTAATTAAATTCGACGATCAAACAGATCAAACAGATCAAACAGATCTGTTTGATTTGATCTGTTTGATGTGTTCGATCTTTTTCTTCTTAAACATAACCATATTCATTAAATAACTTCAAAAACGGCGCTCAAAAACCTTAAATTGGGTTTTTCACCAGGACTCTCAACTTTGTAAGATCATATAAAGATTCTAAAAGCACCAATGAGTTAGAAAATGAGCTTGGCTACAGAAGACATACTTAAAAATCATCTCTAAAAATTTCATACGGATTCATTGAGTTCTCGCTGAGCTAGGCTCTCAGAAATGACTCTTTCGAGAAGTGAATTTCTTTTCGTAATCACTTTCGAAGTAAATTTCAAGTAATTTTCACTCTGTGGAATCGAATTTCTTTCTAATCACTGACCTTTTCAGGAACTTCTCCTCGATAAACTTTTGAACCAAGATCGTAGTGCCAATATTCACAACTTTCACCAGTTTTTGGACATTTCACTGGAAAATGAAGTTACTGATAAGCAAAACTGTTTCAAAGTTTTGTATTTTTTTTTTTTTTATTTAGAAATGGGAATTTACCTGGTGAAGCTAGGGTAAGTTTGTTAATTTGTTGATTTGAAAGATTCGATTGGATAACTTTTTGAATAAAAGCCAGGAAAGTTAAAGTTAAAAATCATTAAGCTAGGATAGAACCAAGGTCGATCCATTTGAAGGCATCCATTTGAAGCTAGGCTCGATTTGAATCTAGCTAGGCTCGATTTGAACCTAGCTAGACTCGATTTAAATCTAGCTAGGCTCGATTTGAAAGGAAAAGAAGAGAAAAGAAGAGAAAAATGGAGAAAATAGAGAAAATAGAGAAAAGACAACGATGAGGCGGCTTGTAAGGAATGAAAGAGATGAAGGAGTCAAGGTTTGGAGAAAAGCGAGTGGACAAAGAAATAGCTCAAAGAAGTCAGAGTAGGGCAAATGGATTACGTGCATGAGAACAGAGTGAGACCAAAAGTCAGACCACTAGCTGTCATCTGTTAACTGTTTCAATTTTCGAACTTACCATCATTTGTGCAAAATTTCCAATCAACGCCAATATCTTTGCCGTAAACATGAAGCGAGAAATTCGCAGCTAAACCCGAGCAAGTGGCTGTGAAGAGGACACGGATTCGAGGACCGGCTGGGTCTCTGAAAGAAAGAAAGTTCAACCAAGCCATGGTTTTAAAGATAAAGAAATGCTAATGATCAAGTATTGAAATGAATTTACATTCTTAGATCTGAGAACATTATTGACAATCTTGCTCTTCAGCTTATCAGCTCTCCAATTCTACCATCTGATAACATTATTGACAATCTTGCTCTTCAGCTTATCAGCTCTCCAATTCTACCATCTGATAACATTATTGACAATCTTGCTCTTCAGCTTATCAGCTTTATCCTCTTCAGCTCTCCAATTCTACCTCAAATCATAGAAAGCTTTATGCAGAAAAACGTGTTGTTTCGTCAGATTTGTCTCCGTATACGACTTATCAAAATTCGTATTTCGATAGAAATTATGCCGTTCGACTTTTTGCATTTGTAAATCCAATAGTTTTGAGTAAATGGTCGTTTCTCGAAACTTCATCAGCATAAAATAACAAATTGCAAAAGCGGCGATGAAATGGAACTGAAAGGTTTGGCTTTGAGTTTATTAAAACTTCAAAAAAAAATTCCATAAGCTTTGAAGATATTGTCATACTTTTATTAGGGTTAAAGATATTCAGCCTATAAAAGTACTTGAATTGACTCTTGTCATTTATTCAGATGATAGAAAACAATAAAACTATAAGCAAAGCAAGGGACAAGTCTCTAGATTGTTCTCTCAATTTATCTTCTTTCTTTAAGTCAAACAATGGTCTAAAAGAATCTAAAATTTGTAGAAATATAGTCAAATTAAAATAGAGAACAATCTAGAGATGATAGAAAACAATAAAACTATTAGGTTGGTAAAAAAGAAATGAGCGTCGTGTTTGTTGATTTGTATTTTATTCACAGTAAAAGATTTTTTTAAATAGTTTATTCTATTGGAAAGAGCGTGTTCTTGCGCATCGTTTGATATATAATTTGTCTATGTTTACTTTGTTTTTTTTTACAAGAAAGAGTGTTTAGAAAATGTCGGACCAAAAATTTCGCTTGCGGGCCTGCTTGTGGTATGAATCGGCTGCTGAAGCTCATCGCAAGGCAAATCGGCTGCTGAAGCTCATCGCGCTCTATCTCAAGTGTTTGACGAAGATGCTCTATCCGAAAGTCAGTGTAAACGAGTCAGTGTTCCAGCGCTTCCGAGACGGCGACGAAAGCTTGGAAGACTAGATTGTTCTCTATTTTAATTTGACTATATTTCTACAAATTTAAGATTCTCCTAGACCATTGTTTGACTTAAAGAAAGAAGATAAATTGAGAGAACAATCTAGAGACTTATCTCTTTACTTGTCTCTTTCTTTTGCTTACAGTTTTATTGTTTTCTATCAGCTGGATAAAAGACAAGAGTCTATTCAAGTTTTAGTTTTATAAGCTGAATATCTTTTATTCTAATAAAAGTATGACAATATTTTCAAAGCTTAATAAAATAAAAAATGATCTCAATGAATTTTGACATAATTACGTTCAAAAATATGAACTTTAGATAAAGTTATAAGCCTTTAAAGCTTTGAATTCTTTTTTCAAAACTCACCAAAAACACTCGAGTCACTTTCATTTGACGATAAGCAAAAGTTAGAATATCGAAATTTTTCCACAAATTTCCAAATTGATTTTGACTTTTCTGTAATAAAGTTATCAAGAATTTAATAAATTGAGATTTTATTGGGTTGGTGAATTGAAAACTGCGGGACTTTGAACCAAAATTTATACAACATAAAACCATCAATTCATTCCAAATAATTTCCATTATTATTGACGACTTGTGCCCATTTTACAGGCAATTTGCGGATTCCTCTTTCGTGGTAGGATTCTGGTTTGTGTGTGAGACTCAAAAATGGAGGACTGGAGATGTCCCAGTTTGAGCACCTTCTTCAAAAGAAACCCATTTTGGTGTCAATAGAAAAGTTGTAGAGAATCAAAAATCAAGCTTATATCCAAATTTTCAGAACGATTCAAAAACTCGTTTTCAAGAAATGATAAATTCACGAATTTTCACAAAACTTGCATTTTAAGCGAAACTACTAAGTGTATATTTTTGGGAATCTGGCTATAAGCCTCATTTTTGATTCTCTACAACTTTTCTATTGACACCAAAATGGGTTTCTTTTGAGGAAAGTGCTCAAACTGGGACATCTCCAGATCTCCAGTCCTCCATTTTTGAGTCTCACACTTGTCTCACACACAAACCAAAATCCTACTACGAAAGAGGAGTCCGCAAATTGCGAATTGCCAATGGATTGATGGAATCATTGAAATCGAATTTGAATAGGAACATTAATCCTTGAATCTTTCAAAAATAGCTTGATGTTTTTGATGTTTTACTGAAGCAACCCAGTTCATGGCTTAATGAAACTATGAAATGAAACTATTTAAACTATAAACTATAAAACTATTTAGAAAAGGATATCAAAGAATCACCTCTAATTTCAACACTGTAAATCGATTTTAGGAGATTTTTCAGAGAATATGAATAGCCAAATAGTTTTCCCATTTTTGAGCCTTTTCGTCATGGTAAATGTGGTTTCCTTCTTTGAAAAGATCGACTTTTTGGTGAATAGAAGATTTTTGTGAATGCTTTTTGTCAATTTCATAATTTTACAAAGAAAAACTTTACTTTAAAAGCCTAATATTTGTGTAAAGTGGCTGAAAAACTGAAGTTTTACTTTGAAGAACTGTTAAAGATCATCTTTTAAAGATTTACTTTGTAAAGTATAGACTTTTGAATAGTTTCTGAGCTAGACAGATCTTCGACAACTGATTTTTAAATAGAGATCAAGAAAAGTGTCATTAGATCCAACGTAGAGGAAAAGGAATGTTTTTCAAAGGCGTTCCTCTTTCCTTTTCACTCCTCTTTCCCATCACCTTTTCCCCTCTCCCACCTCATAAAACCCCTTTTCTCGCAAAGCGACGCACGGCCAGTTGGTCTAGTGGTATGATTCTCGCTTAGGGTGCGAGAGGTCCCGGGTTCAATCCCCGGACTGGCCCGACCTTTTGATCTTTTGGGGAATTGTTATATCTTTTTAAGGGCAAATTAAAGCTTTGTTTCTCCCTCTCCCACCTAATAAAATCCCCTTTCTCGCCAAGCGATACACGGCCAGTTGGTCTAGTGGTATGACTCTCGCTTAGGGTGCGAGAGGTCCCGGGTTCAATCCCCGGGACCTCTCGCCCATTATTTTGATCTTTTGGGAAATTGTTCTAGCTTTTTCTGGACAGTTTTTAAGCTGAAAAGCTTAGAGCTCTAACTGATCGGTTGAAAACTTTGTTTTTATTGTTGTTGGTAAATGAATCATAGTAAATGACTGTTAGTAAATGGTTCATAGTAAATGATTTTATCACGATAGAATTATGCGAAAGATCGTTGACAAACAGATCATCATGATTTCAAATCAAAAATCAATCAATTGAGATCTTAAATCACAACATAATTGCTCTCCTCGGTTGGCTCTGTGTAAATCCAATCGTCGAGTTTGTGAATTGCTTGAAAACATGAAACGCCCGGCTCAGAACAGCCTTTTTTTCGGAGTGAGCCCCTGAAAGAGATTTCTAGCTTTATGATGGATAATCTTTGTTTCTTTTACTGGATCTAATAATACTATCTTTTAAGTTATCCAGCTGAATATCTTTCGATTAATTAAAGAATTAAATTCTTTTTTTTTCGAAACTCACTTCTTTTTACAAGCGTATATCTGTGAATATACTTGATGGGTTTTATACTCCGGGATCTCTCCATCGAAAATCTCAAAGATCGTTGCTCGAATACTATCCACTTTTTTGTCAACATTCTCCTGAAAACTTATAGATTATAGCTTTCAAAGTCTAGAGAACCTCATCGAAAAGTCGAACATCAAAGTGGATTTGCGTCACGTTTGGCTCTTTGTCGAAATCCTCCCGAGCATGTAGATAAAGAGCTTCTTCTGGGGGAACCTAAATAAACTTTCTTCTAAGCTTTAGATATTGCTCATTACTGTACAACCCGAGTTAGACTCAAGAAAAAGAATAGCTTCAATCGACCGACCCCCAAAACCCCAGAGTACAAATTTACAGCTGAATATATCATTTACAAAAGTAAGGGAAGACCCGTAAGGGAAGGCCCGTAAGGGTAGGCCCGTAAGGGTAGGCCCGTAAGGGAAGATACGTCAACAAAAGGGAAGATAAAGTGTTGCGGGGAGTCTTGGATGAATTCGAACCAAAAGATGTATTCAATCCCGACTTAGCAAAGTTTTGCCTTTACTACGAATTCCACATTCCGTTAGACCATTCAACTAGCTGATTGAGCCAAAGCTGAACGAGCCAAAACTGATTGTGAGATTGAAAGATAAGATTGAAACTGACCCTCTGAATCTGATTCGCCGGCAAATTACTGATAAAACGATATTGATATCTTTAAGTTTAGAAACTTTCTCTTCAAATCACCTTGTGGCTTTCCCTCTTCCCGAAATGCTCCCTCGGGTAGTGAACCCATGCGATTCGAATGTATTGCGTCAGAAATATTGACTAAAAACTCTTTGAATGCTTTGAATGCAAAGGTTTTAGACCTTTGGAAATCTCCAACTGTCGAAAACTTTCGGATGTTTAAGTCCATCGAGCTTGATGAATTGCTCATAGTTGTAGGGTCGAGGAACGGTCGGTGGATCGAATGTTAACGCGACATGGGGGAAAATTAGGCCACCTGAAGGAAACGGTACTTGTCTTTCTTGTCTAGACAAATAAGTCTAACTGAATATCTTCATAAGTCTTGTCAAAAGTGTCGAGCGAGCGATTCTGTTGGTTTTTTCTCAGCTCTGTTGGTTTACAGTCTTTCTCAGCTCACCCAAATCCTTTTTCTTCTTGTCCCACGATTCGAGAAAGTCAAAGAGCTTGGTTCGATTTCTAAAATTCACAATTTCTTTCAAAGTTTCCGAACTTTTCGAACTTTTCGAATTCTTTTACCTAATATAAAGCATTTCATCAACATCACCAATGTAAGTGTATTTACTTTTCGACCAAAAAGTGCAATGTTGTGTGTCAAGATTATCGCTCACATAGTGAACACCATAGTTTGGATCTACCTATCAAATTTTCGTTTTAAAGTAAAAAAAAGAAAAGAAAACTCTCTGCGTGAATGGTAATAAAGGCCAACCATGCGTTTCGATGATTCCCTAGAAATTTGAATTTGAAAATGACTGGCGATGTGTTCTTTATGAGACACACCTTCCGGCGCACTGAAGTCTACATTTTTCTTATGAAATGAAGGCATTGCTGCTAGATGAATGAAGGATTGAGTGTGCCAGAAGATATGGAAAAGAATAGAATGCTATACCTGAGCTTTATAATACTCGATTACTTTGGCGACATCTTTTGAGATCACATTTGGAGTTAAAAGAATTCTAAACAAAATTATGAAAATCCCTTTGTAAAGCCATACTTGCTGACACCAATAAACTTCCAATATTCAGCGAAAATGATTAGACGAATCCAGTCATTGAACCTGAACATTTGAAAAGAAAAACAGTTTAGTTATTAGATTATAAAGCTAGCGTTTTGTGAAGCAAGGTTCCCACTAAACTCACCAATAAAGTGGTCCGATACATGCAGAGACGGTGTTCGTGTAATTGGTGGGTGACTGGAACAGAGGCACTTCTTTCGAGCTCGCATCTCGGTGAACGGTTATCTGTAAATTGTGCTAATGTTTTTGTAGCTATGCATAGCTTTACTGATAAGCTTAAACCCAACATTTGGCTCCAGTAACAAAGTCATTTTTTTGAAAATTGTAACCCCAACACAAAGTCAGTCTATCATAGTCTATCACAAAGTCTATCATAGTGTCCAGTCAAGGATAAACCCATTGGGGTGATCATTGGCTGTATCAAAACGATTTTGCTTTGTATTACAGGGTGAGCCAAAATTAGCGTTACATATAAAAAAAGTCTCTCTATAAAAAGCAACTCAAAAGGTCAAAGATTTTTCTTAAAAATAACTTTTATTGTCTCATAACAACTCATAAAAACGATTCCTTTTTAAAAAGATCTCCAATAGCTTTTACACAGGCGTTCAAATGTCGTAAAAAAGGTATAGGAGAGCGTCGATCGTGGCGGGAAAGTGTAGGAGATCCAGCTCTTCCCAAGCCTTTTCGAGCGCTTTTTTCGAACTATCAACAGTTTTGTGTGGTTGATATTAGGGTGGTGCAAAAGAAACTGCCGATTTGACGATAAATTTTAAAAAAAGATGGCGTTCGATGGTGACATGATCACAATGGAATATTTTCGCAAGATCTCGAGCAGATTGGCATGGAATGGCATGGATCGGCCTGAATAACGTCCCTCAGCTTGGCTTCGTTCACGACTTCTGGCCTCGAACCGTGCTCGTAATCTTCCAAAGTCTCGTCTCCCTCTCGGAATCGTTGAAACCAAGTCTGACAGGATTTTTGCACGATTCAGGAGAATGCCAGCGATGGAAATGCGGGATGCTAGGTTAGCATCACTGAGTTGATGAGGGACCCATCTTCCACAACGATTTTTCGTTCCAATAGCGTGAAGATGGCGTCCGATGGTGACATGATCACAATGGAATATTTTCGCAAGATCTCGAGCAGATTGGCATGGATCGGCATGGATCGGCCTGAATAACGTCCCTCAGCTTGGCTTCGTTCACAACTTCTAGCCTCGAACCGTGCTCGTAATCTTCCAAAGTCTCGTCTCCCTCTCGGAATCGTTGAAACCAAGTCTGACACTGCCTGAGAGACAAACTGCCATCTCCGAAAGCAGCACAGAGAGAACGATGCGATTCGGCAGCAGAATTTCCAATTTTGAAGTTAAACAGTAATGCTGTTCGTAGCATTGCTCGACCATGATCTAAATAAAAAATATAAGCATTTTTAAATAAAATAAAAAACAACCAAAAAATTCAAATGTCCAAATAAATAGCAAACAAATATGCGAACAAACCATAAAAAGAAAAATACCGTTAGCATCGCTCGTTTCCGATAAATGAGAGCTGATACCCATCAGCAGTTTCGTTTGCACCACCCTAATAGCGTCAACTGATAGCATTTATGATTTATTTTCCTTGTAGGCCTTTAACTTGAGCTTGTTTTTGATGATTCTTCTAAGGGATGTTTGCTTAATCCTCATTTTTTGTCACATTCTCCGCACCGATTAGTTTTTTCTTTTTCTTTTTTTTCATTTTCTCAATAGGACAAAGCCAGAAAGGATTTATTTTCAGAAAATGCAAAGTCTAAGATTATCATGTTTTGAAAAAGTTTTTCTCTTGATATTCAGAAAAAGAAAAGAAGAAAAAAACCCGATATTCAGAAAAAGATGAACTCGATTCTCGAATCCTTTTAATACGCGCCACATTGTTCAGACTACGGTACTTCTATTGTCTACATCCGTCTCTCTGTCTGTCATCGTTTAGGGTACAGTCTTAGACTGCGGCAGCTTTTTGGTGACTCGTCATCACAGGTTGGACACTATTATAGACTAGAAGATCAGCGCTGGACTAATTAAGTGATCAAAGCCATTCGAAAAGTCCATAACTATAAGTCAAGTTAGGCCAGCCTAGAACCAGTCTGGAAGATTTGATAGGAGAACTCATAGGAGTAGTCCTATGGCACTACTCATAGGAGTAGTCCAACTATGAACCAATTTAGACCTGACCCAGACAAAATTCCTTTTGAAACATTCACTCAATAGAAATTTCTTTCAAGAAACTAGAACACACACTTTTTCTTCTATTTTCTATACAATCCTTACCATCTTTGGGATTTGCCCGTTATAAACTTTGGAGGCGATATCGTAATGCCAATATGGACACGATTCCTTATTCGGACAACCGACTAAAATGATTTTTATTCATTTTTAAAAACAAATTTTCACCGGAATTCGTGCACTTATTCCATTCGATTCCCAATTTCTTTCCATCAATCGAGATATCGATTTTGCCGCCTCGTCCAGCGCATGTCGCTGTCACTAGTAAGCGGATACGAGGGCCAGCTGGGTCTCTAGAATATACAATATCATATTCTTCCGAATAAACCCAATCAACCACCCAGTTTTCATTTGATTAGCCCAATTTTGATATCATTCAATAAGAATTACAAGATTCATTGTCAGTCTGAATGATACTGATAATTGTGATAATAAAATTCGGTTCATTGAATGCCCATTGAAATTCAGTTCATGAATTTTCTAATTGTTCTTAAAAAAAACATATTAAGCTCTCAATTTCGACTTTCCAATTAGCTATTGAGATTTTTGAAAAAATCAGAATTCCTTGCCTTAAATCGTAAAAAGCTTTGTGAAAGAACAACTCATCGCCCGTCAATGGTCCTTCTTTATAAAAAGATTTATCCCAATTCGTTCCATATGTGAAATTCCATGTAGTACTGCCGAAATCGAGCACCGATGGGAGTAAATGATAAGGAATTTGGGCGTTTGAATATTGATGAAAGATGAAATCACGAATCCAGAAGATATAACACAAAGCGAAAATTGAGAAAATCACGAGGAAACCCTGGAATGAAATCAAGTTGCAAAGTTTCCAATTTTCAGAGATTAAAACTAATATTTTTCTTATAGTTAGCACTTCTTAATGTGATTTATTCTAGTCGACTCTTTGCTCTGTTTTTTACATCAGAAAAACTCTCGGCTCTTGTGTAGTTTCCGGGTATCTTCAAAGAATCCAGGTTTTAGCTCGTCACACTTGGAAGGCCTATAACTTTGTCTAGAGATAATATTTTTGCTAACTTTTTATATCATTGTACAGAGGACATTTTAGGCTTTCAAATGATATAAAATAGAGCTTGATTGGATAATCGAGTCCAAGAAAATCAAAGCCAGCTCTAAGCAAATGAGACCTATCCAACTCGTTGTTGTGTCGCCTGGTTTGGATGGGAATGAAAAACCAATTAAGCTCTATTTGGTATCATTTGAAAACCTAAAAATGTCCTCTGTACAATGATATAAAAAGCTAGTAGAAATATTATCTCTAGACAAAGTTATAGGCCTTCCAAGTGTGACGAGCCGTTCAAAATACCTCGTTTCTAAAGGAAAGATCGTAGAGCTTCAAAAATGTTTTCATAGAAGGGAATCGTTTGCGTAGATTCCGAATTTCGACAAATCAGACCTCGCTGACACGTCAAATTTGGGCTAAAAGGCAGAAACTACGCAACTGGAACGCTTTTCCGCAATTTTTGCCTTTTAGCCCAAATTTGACGTGTCAGCGAGGTCTGATTTGTCGGAAATTCGGAATCTACGCATACGATTCCCTTCTATGAAAACATTTTTTGAAGCTCTACGATCTTTCCTAAGGCCTTTTCCAGCAGAAAAAGGTGCGCAAATGTTCAGGTGCGCAAAAAAAGGTCGCATTTGTTCTACCCCCTCAAAGTCGACTCACCTTGAAATCGAACTTCATCGAAATCCAATTGAAAATTGATTGGTTAAATCGAAAGAAAATTCTATAAAATCTAACAAAAAAGAGAATAGACAAATATGAAAAAAGAAATAAAGCGAAATCGTTAAATAATTCTTCCTTTTTCTTTCCTCTTTTCTCATATCAGTTTCAAGCGTTACGATTCAAAATTTTGTTTTCAAGGCGTTTTCCGTTTGAAATATTTATTTTGTGTGGAGTCTCAAAGAGCTTAACTTTTCCAAAATTGAGTCTATTTTTCAAATACTTAACTGAAAATTGTGATTAAAAAGGCTCAGGAGATGGGAGGAAAAAAGGAGAAAAGAGTGATTTTGAATGATCTAATGATTGATTGATTGATTGATTGATTGATTGATCGATTTTTTATATCAAAGTTGATAGTAACAAGCTGTAAAAAGGTTATAGATTTGATTACAGATTATAAAAAGTTTGAATCTTCTACAGTATTTAGGTGAAGGTTTAGAAACGTTTAGAAGCCTTTTTGCTGTTGTTATTTGAAATTTTTCGTTTTGTTGTGCATATTTTTTATTAAATTTATAATTTTTGTTAATTTCCAGGTAAATGGCACACGGAAAGCTGCTCACGGATTAAGATAAAGGCCAGATTGATGCCCGTTTGAGGATTAGCGACTCAATAAGGAAAATCGCAAAAAATTTGGGCCGATCTGACTCTGCCGTGCGAAATTATAGAAAGTCCGAGTTCGTTTCTGCACCAAAGAAGAAGCCAGGGCCAAAACCAAAGCTTACACCGCGAGCTAGACGCCATATTGATTGATTTGATTGATTGATTGATCGATTTTGTATATCAAAATTGATAGTAATAAGCTGTGAAAGGTTATAGATTTGATTATATTAGGTTGGTGAATTGAAAACTGCGGCACTTTGAACTAAAAAGACTTGAAGACTCTAAAGAAAAAGACTCTAAAGCCAGACCCAAACCTCGTGACTTCTAGCAAGTCCAGGGTACTTTTTACCCAGGAGTTTTTACAGGGCCTAGGTCCAGGTAAAGAATCTAGTGACTAGCGACTAGCGATCTAGCAAAAGCCATCTAGCAAAAGTCATCTAGGAACTAAAAAGCTTGCCATGAAACAACAATTTTTTATCAAAAACGCCAAGAAGTACAAGAAGTAGGCCTACTGGAACGCATAAAGTCCAAACAGAGTGACGTTTTTTAATCTAATCGGAATCCCAATGATTATTGAGCGATTGATGAATCTCAAATTCGAATTCAAAAGCCATTCCAGAACGAGCATGATTACAGCAATTGTAAAGGATTTTCATCAATCAACTAATGACGATGGAGAGCTTCAATGGATCAGCTCGAGGTCTCCCGGTACACGACAGTAAAGTCTTCAAAGGGAGTCTTATCTATCAGGACTTTTCAACACAAAGTAAAACAGGGAATTCTTCTAAGCGATTGTGGATACGCTAGAGATTTTTGATCAAGCCTGTGCTAAAGGATAACTCAATTTCTATCGAAACTCGCTAGACAAATGCGATGTGTAAAGAAAGAATCCTTATTGAGAAAAGCTTTTGGAAGATGAGACTGGGCCCAGATCTCTAGTCTCTAGTAAAACGAGATGAAAGACTTTGGCTAAGAAAAGTTAAAGCTGATGACGAAAATTTGAAGAGATTTGCGCGTCAAACTTTTCGATGTTAATAGTTTATGATCTGTAGCTAAAGGCTAAAGGCAAAAATCGATTTTTAACTTTTTTTTTTGGCTATTTTCTTTGCAGAAATCTTTTCAAAGCTATCTTTTTTCTCATCTGATTTTTGATTTGACTTTTTTTTCATCTTTTTACACCTAATGGCACCTAATGGCACCTTTAAAACCTTTTATAACCTTTTAAAACCTTTTAAATCTAAAGATCTTTCAATTAGATTGTATAAAACTCACCTGATAAAACCCCCTTCCTCGCAAAGCCACACACGGCCAGTTGGTCTAGTGGTATGATTCTCGCTTAGGGTGCGAGAGGTCCCGGGTTCAATCCCCGGACTGGCCCATTGTTTTGATCTTTTTGGGAAATTGTTCTAGCTTTTTTATGGACAGTTTTTAAGCTGAAAGCTTAAAGCTTTAACTGATCGGTTGAAAGCTTTGTTTTTATTGCTGTTTTCCATAGTAAATCATTTTATCACGATAGAACTATGCGAAATCATGATTTCAAATCAAAAAATCAATCAAATGAGATCTTAAATCACAACATAATTGCTCTCCTCGGTTGGCTCTGTGTAAATCCAATCGTCGAGTTTGTGAATTGCTTGAAAACATGAAACGCCCGGCTCAGAACAGCCTTTTTTTTCGGAGTGAGCCCCTGAAAGAGATTTATAGCTTTATGTTGGATAATCTTTGTTTCTTTTACTGGATCTAATAATACTATCTTCGAAGTTATCCAGCTGAATAGCTGTAGAAATTCTTTTTTTCTAAACTCACTTCCTTTTACAAGCGTATATCTGTGAATATACTTGATGCGTTTTATACTCCGGGATCTCTCCATCGAAAATCTCAAAGATCGTTGCCCGAATACTGTCCACTTTTTCGTCAATATCCTCCTGAAAACTTATAGATTATAGCTTTCAAAGTCTAGATGAACCTCATCGAAAAGTCGAACATCAAAATGGATTTGCGTCACGTTTGGGTTTTTTGTCGAAATTCTCCCGAGCATGTAGATAAAGACCCTCTTCTTTGGGAACCTAAATAAACTTTCTTCTAAGCTTTAGATATTGCGTATTACTGTACAACCCGAGTTAGATTCAAGAAAATGAATAGCTTCAATGAATAGCTTTGATTGCCCGACCCCGAAAAGCCCAGAGTACAAATTTACAGCTGAATATATGATTGCAATGTTCTTTGTGCGACCAGGTAATCACTCGCTGTCTGGCACACGCCCCCGATAGATAGCCGTCCCCTTTTGGGGAACATCGGTAAGGGAACATCCTTAAGGGAAGAAGCTATAAACGACTGGGCGACAAACAAAGACACGGGATTGTTTTTCGAACATTGTAAATAGAAGCCGCCGATACTATCCACGACGACGTCAACAAATGGGAAGAGGAACTTTCGCAAGGACTTCTGGATGAATTCGAGTCAAAAGATGTATTCAATCCTGAATGGCTACATTTTTGCCTTTGCTATGAATTCCACATTCTGTTAGACCACTCAACTGGCTGAAATAACCAAAACTGATTGTGAGATAAGATTGAAACTGACCCTAAAAATCTGATTCGCCGGCAAATTACTGATAAACCGATATTGATATCTTTAAGTTTAAGAAACTTTTTGTTCAAATCACCTTGTGGCTTTTCCTCTTCCCAAAATGCTCCCTCGGGTAGTGAACCCATGCGATTCGAATGTATTGCGTCAGAAATATTGACTAAAAACTCTTTGAATGCTTTGAATGCTTTGAATGGAGAGGTTTTAAACCTTCGGAAATTTCCATTGGCTGAAAACTTTCGGATGTTTAAGTCCATCGAGCTTGATGAATTGCTCATAGTTGTAGGGTCGAGGAACGGTCGGTGGATCGAATGTTAACGCGACATGGGGGAAAATTAGGCCACCTGAAGGAAACGGTACTTGTCTTTCTTGTCTAGACAAATAAGTCTAACTGAATCTCTTCATAAGTCTTGGCAAAAGTGTCGAGCGAGCGATTCTGTTGATTTTTTCTCAGCTCTGTTGGTTTACAGTCTTTCTCAGCTCACCCAAATCCTTTTTCTTCTTGCCCCACGATTCGAGAAAGTCAAAGAGCTTGGTTCGATTTCTAAAATTCACAATTTCTTTCAAAGTTTCCGAACTTTTCGAACTTTTCGAATTCTTTTTACCTAATATAAAGCATTTCCATCAACATCACCAATGTAAGTGTATTTACTTTTCGACCAAAAAGTGCAATGTTGTGTGTCAAGATTATCGCTCACATAGTGAACACCATAGTTTGGATCTACCTATCAAATTTTCGTTTTAAAGGAAAAAAAGAAAAGAAAACTTTCTCCGTGAATGGTAATAAAGGCCAACCATGCGTTTCGATGATTCCCTAGAAATTTGAATTTGAAAATGACTGGCGATGTGTTCTTTGTGCGGCAGGGCAATCGCTCGCCGTCTGGCACATGCCACCGATGGATATGTGTTCCTTTTTGCAACCCGAAAAATGGGGAATCATTTGCAATGCAAATGAATGGCGATGTGTTCTTTGTGCGACCGGGTAATCACCTCCTGACAGGCACACGCCCCCGATAGATAGCCGTTCCGTTTTGGGAAGAGGGGAAGATCCGTAAGGGAAGGATCGATAAAGGACTGAGCTACAAACAAAGACACGGGATTGTTTTTCGAACATTGCAAAGAGAAGCCGCCAATACTATCCACGACAACGTCAAGAAATGGGAAGATAAAGTGTTGCAAGGGCTCTTGGATGAATTCGAGCCAAAAGGTGTATTCAATCTCGATTTGGTTATATTTTTGCCTTTACTACGAATTCGACATTCCGTTAGACCATTCAAAGAGCTGATTTGCTCTTTAAAGTCTACTTTATGTTTGGAAACGCACACCATTTGGCGCACTGGTTCCTCTATTTTCCTTCAGACAAAAGCCTTTGTTTTGCTGAATGAAGTGCGCCGAGAGGAGTATTTTTATGTGCACAAAGTACACTGGACTTTTCGGTGTACTTTGTGTTGAAAACTCGAAAAGGCACACCTTCCGGCGCCCTGAAATCTACACTTTTCTTATGGAATGAGGGCATTGTTGCTAGATGAATGAAGGATTGAGTGTGCCAGAAGATATAGAAAAGAATAATAGGTTGATGCATAAGTGTTTTCGTTTTTTCGTACCTCTGTTAAAAAGTAACAAATTCACGAATTAATCTATAGTTTGCTCTATAAAAAAAGTGTTTTTTTGTTCAATTTGCATCTTTTTAAATGAATTTCGGTTCACTTCAAGCAAATTCGAGAGTGAAAAACGCCTTTTTCGTAAAAATCTATAAAAAACTCTACGGAAAAATTGGCTGAATGAATTTCTCTGAAATTTTGGCGAAATATCAAACGTTTTTTCTCTATCTTTTATCTATTGACACGAAGATAGGTTTTCTTTTAGCTAAGGTGTCTAAAACCAGGCTCAGGCTCAGGCTCAGGCTCAGGCTTAGGCTGAGGCTTAGCCTGAGCCTGAGCCTGAGCCTGAGCCTAAACCGCATCATCGAGTTAGCCCTTTTTGACTACCCGACTTCATACTCTCAAGAAAATCCAGGCATTAAATATTTTTAAACCCGTTTTAATGTTATTTTGCAGAAAATAATTGCTTTTTCTAATGAAATCAACCGTAGTTTAATTCGTGCATTTGTTGGCTTGAAACGGCAGACGAAAAGGAACAAAAACACTTATGCATCAACCTAATAGAATGCTATACCTGAGCTTTATAATACTCGATTACTTTGGCGACATCTTTTGAGATCACATTTGGAGTTAAAAGAATTCTAGACAAATTCTAGACAATTATGAAAATCCCTTTGTAAAGCCATACTTGCTGACACCAATAAACTTCCAATATTCAACGAAAATGATTAGACGAATCCAGTCATTGAACCTGAACATTTGAAAAGAAAAACAGTTTAGTTATTAAATTATAAAGCTAGCGTTTTGTGAAGCAAGGTTCCCACTAAACTCACCAATAAAGTGGTCCGATACATGCAGAGACGGTGTTCGTGTAATTGGTGGGTGACTGGAAGAGAGGCACTTCTTTCGAGCTCGCATCTCGGTGAACGGTTATCTGTAAATTGTGCTAATGTTTTTGTAGCTATGCATAGCTTTACTGATAAGCTTAAAACAAACATTTGGCTCCAGTAACGAACTCATGGTTTGAAAATTGTAACCCCAACACAAAAGTCAGTATATAATAGTGTCGAGTCAAGGGAAACCCATTGAGGTGATCATTGGCTGTATCAAAACGATTTTGCTTTGTATTACTTGTGTGCTTTCCTCTGAATTCACTAGACGTTTTGACCTGTGCGCTTTCAGCTTGAATGAATAACAAAACCAAAGTTTATTCGTGGGCAAAATGTTTTAACAAAGCTCAAGGAAAGAAGGGTTTTAACTTAAAGAAAAAGGAATTGTGCTTTGATGAAAATTGTACCTAGTAATTGTGAAAGTATCTAGGTAAAAGAAAACAGCTTTCACAAGACTAAATGGAAAAGAAGGTGTCCTTATATACGCGTTTTGGGCGCGACATTGTTTAGGGTACGGTATTTCTGGTATCTTATTAGATGGCGGCAGCTTTTTGGTGACTCGTCGTCAAAAGAATTCACAAATTAACAGTTATTAGAAGTTGCAGAAAAAGGGGAAAAGGTTTATTGCCGATATTCAAGAAAAAGATTCTCCTGATGAACTCGATTCTCGAATCCTTTTAATACGCGCCACATTGTTCAGACTACGGTACTTCTATTGTCTGGCCTCTTTCTGTCTGTCTGTCATTGTTTAGGGTACGGTATTTGACTGTGGCAGCTTTTTTGTTGACTCGTCATCACAGGTTGGACACTATTATAGACTAGGAAGATCAGCGCTGGACTAATTGAGTGATCAAAGCCATTCCAAAAGTCCATAACTACAAGTCAAGTTAGGCCAGCCTAGAACCAGTCTGGAAGATTTGATAGGAGAACTCATAGGAGTAGTCCTATGGCACTACTCATAGGAGTAGTCCAACTATGAACCAATTTAGATCCGACCCCAACAAAAATTCCTTTTGAAACATTCACGCAATAGAAATTTCCCTTCAAAAGAAACTAGGAACATACTTTTTCTTTTAATTTTCTGTACAACTCCTTACCATCTTTGGGATTTGCCCGTTATAAACTTTGGAA